ACACAAAAAGCAGAATCAAATTTATTTTGCCTTCTAACCCCAAAAATGTTAATATGAGGTTTTGTATTATTTAACCGTTCTCATTTACTAATCCCCTAGAATTCATTTTTTAAATACAAAAAAAAATATAATTAGCAGTCATAGCTGATTATTTTTACAGGAGAAAAAATACAATGTGTCTACATTTCTGTTCTTTTTAAAAAATATCAATACATAGTGAACAAACACTCTTAAAACCAGAATAAAAAGACAGCTCAAAGTTTTGACTTACCTGATTTAGGTAACGAGTGAAATTTATGTACACAGTGTTGATCAGTTAAACTCCTCTCTTCACAGAGCTGATGGCCATTGCTCCAAAACTTGTAGCAGTCCTCATGTAATTGCATGGCATATTTGTGAAAGGCTGGGCCCCTCGCATGTTGACTGTAGACTCGCAGAGCCTGGGCAAGTTGATTCTTATGGACAGTCATTGTGTAATTATGAGGCAAGTTTGACTGATAAGCACTATGGGCCATGGGTAAAGCTTTTTGGCACCGGTTTTCTGAGAATTTGGTGTCAATATCCAAAAACCCTTCCAAGATTTTAATACTGCTGAAAATCTTAGATGTTAGCTCCCCAGTGGGAGACCCCAGATCCTCCTCTTTCCCATCAATGGCTACTTCATACAGTTTGGAAGCTGCTGAGATCCACTTCTGGTAAGTGGGAAGTTCAAAATGAGAAGGTTGTGGGTTCCTGCCCACACTGTCGTCAAAACCTTTCTTGCTGAGAACTAGCTCCACATGCTGCCACAGAAATTCCCGAAGAGTGAAATCCACTAGCTGCCCTGAAGAACTGGAACTGCTGCTATCCACGTGGAAAGACAGCTGTTGCCGGATATGCTGCCTCATCACCTGGTATCGCCTGGGTCCAGAAAGGGGTGCAGGCACCAGCAAAGATTCAGGATCCTTCACCGTACACTGACTCCTCAGTTGGTCCAGCAACATGCCTACGGGGTCCTCCTCCTGGCTCCCTGGAACGATGTACACAAAAGCTTGGTTGGCAGGCACAGTAAAGAGGCAGTTGATACTCTGATTAGTCAAGACACGACTCTTGCGAAAGATTCTATAAATCTGGTCCTCCAGGGCATGTTGCAGTCTCCTTTTGGGGGAATGCTTCTTGGGTTTGTCTGGATGCGCCGGGTCTTGGCTCCGAGGGGGTTCCACTTTGAGGGCTCCGTTGAGTTGAAACAGGAAAAGAAGTCTAGGCGGGCAAGGTCGGCAGTTTAGTTTCCAGTCTTTGCCAACGGGACAATCCTTAATGGCTGTTTTGAGGAGGGGCAGTACTTTCTGTCTCAGTCCATCCAGGGCTCTGAATACCCGATCGTAAGTGATGTCAAAGGAACAAGTGGGATGGACCAAAAGCAGGATATGACAGACGGAGAAGAGGTAAAGGAGACTGAGGCACTGCAGTTTTTCCTGATGCTTCCAGAACTCGTGTGCTTCTGCATGAGGTAGAGAGAGGCCCCCTCCAGCTTCCCCGCTCTGAAGGGCCATACAGGCCCGCAGCAGCTGGGAGTTGTCACAGATGGAAGTAAGAAGGAGATAGAGAACTTTGCTTTCCTGATTGTAATAGGCCTGCAGGAGGCTGTAGTCCTGAGAGCCCGGCCCAGTTTGGTTACCTTCTGCGGCGGCCACACCTCCCCGGACTGGATCCGCCGCCCCGGCCCCAGCCCCAGCCCCAGGGTCGCCCGCTCCACCGGCCTCCCCGGCGGCGACGGTCTCGGTCCTGGTTCCAGGCCCTGGGTCCCCAGGATCCTGGGGGCGAAAAAGGGGGAAGACCTGTCGGTCGCACACCGTGTTCACAAGTGAGAACTTCTCGGAATTCAGTCGCAGGGCCGTCTTGCCAAAGATTCCCACCACGCAGATCTCATCCTCTCGCCAGGGAGGCTCCGGCCCGCTCGCCGCGCTGCCCCCGCCCTCCGGAGGGGACCCCTCGGTGCCTTCGGGGCTGCTCCACGCTGACGCGCCCATCAGAAGCTCTCGCAAGCTGACAGGACCCGCCATGGTGCTGGGACTTCTCGCCAGCCCTTCCGGTCCGCCGGCCAAACGCAACCGGCCTGCGTCCCGTGTTGAAATCCCTCCTCCGCTCCTTCAGTGCCCGCGGCCCTCTCACCTTAGGTTCCGCCGCTCGCACCTCCTCCCGGAGTTTTCCTCCAAGGCTTTCCCTAGTCCTGCAAGATAGAGATTTAAGATTTTCCTCAACCCGATACTGTAGGAATCGACATATCATATCAACACAATCAGAAGCAATTAGTTTGCATTTCAAGATATATAAAAACAGCGCAAAAGGCCGAAATCGGTTTGGCTCAGTGGATAGAGCGTGGGCCTGCGGACTGGAAGGTCCCAGGTTCGATTCAGGTCAGGGGCATGTACCTTGGTTGTGGGCACATCCCCGGTGGGGGGTGTGCAGGAGGCAGCTGGTCCATGTTTTTCTGTCATCATTGTTTCTAGATCTCTATTCCTTTCCCTTCCTCTCTGTAAAAAATCAATAAAATGTATTTTTTTAATTAAAAAAAAAAAAAAAAACCTGCAAAAGAAGAGTGCCAATGGCCCAGCCAGTTTGGCTCAGTGGATAGAGCATCGGCCCACAGACTTCAGTCCCCAGTTCGATGCCGGTCAAAGGGCACGAACCTCATACCTCGGTTGCAGGCTCCATCCCCAGCCCCTGTCCGGCTGCAGTGCGTGGGGGAGGCAACCAATAGATGTGTCTCTAACATGGATGTTTCTCTCTGTCTCTCCCCCTCCCTTCCATGTTCTCTAAAAATCAGTGAGGAAAAACAATATCCTCATGTGAGGATTAACAGGAATTATTTATATGTAATCTAATAAATGGAATTTAAATAAGAAAAAGAAGAACACCTAACAGTAGGAACAGAGAACAGATGGGGGAGGGGAGGGGCAGGAGGTGGGTGTAGGTGATCAGAAAGTACATACTTAAGCATTATAAGATTAAAAAGTTCTGGGGATGGCCGAGATTGGTTTGGTTCAGTGGATAGAGTGTCGGCTTGGGGACTGAAAGGTCCCAGGTTCGATTCCGGTCAAGGGCATGTACCTTGGTTGCGGGCATATCCCCAGTAGCGGGTGTGCAAGAGGCAGCTGATCGATGACTCTCTCTCATCGGTGTTTCTAACTCTCTATCTCTCTCCCTTCCTCTCTGTAAAAAATCAATAAAATATATATTTAAAAAAAAAAAAGATTAAAAAGTTCTGGGGATGGCCGAGATCGGTTTGGTTCAGTGGATAGAGCGTCGGCTTGGGGACTGAAAGGTCCCAGGTTCAATTCCGGTCAAGGGCATGTACCTTGGTTGTGGGCACATCCCCAGTAGGGGGTGTGCAAGAGGCAGCTGATCGATGACTCTCTCTCATCGATGTTTCTAACTATCTCTCTCCCTTCCTCTCTGTACAAAATCAATAAAATATATTTTTTAAAAAAAAAAAATTCTGGGGATGTAATTATAGCATAGTAGCAGGCGTCTTCAAACTACGGCCCGTGGGCCACATGCGGCCCTCAGAGGAGTCTGATCCGGCCCGCCAGGTTTTTTGGGCAATGAGCGCAGCCGAGGTGTTACAGTAGGAATTAGTAGTTCATATAGTCCGGCCCTCCAGCTCTCTGAGGGACCGTGATCTGGCCCACACTTTAAAAAGTTTGAGGACCCCTGGATAGATGATAGTATTGTACTGCATATGTGAAAGTTGCTAAGGGAGAAAAGAAAAAAAGGAAGTTCCTAAGGGAATACATCTTAAAAATTCTCATTGCAAAGAAAAATTGTAACTATATGAGGTGATGATGTTAACTAGATTTACTGTGGAAATAATTTTGCAATATATACATATATCAAATAATTACGTTGGATGCCTTAAACTAATAATATTGTATGTTAGTTGCATCTCAATAAAATGGTGGGGAAGTATTGCCTCATTTAATCCTCAAAGGAAGGGTGAGACTCTAAGTTGTGGTGGATGGTTTGGTGTTTTTAATATATTAAGCTATATTTGGCTTCCAGTAATTCTTCTCAACCAACTCTTACAAGATTTTAGGAAGGAGCAATGGTGGGTTTTTAAATTTTATTTTAAATTCTTTTTCTACTTGTTCCCTCCCTTCTACATATTCAGATCCTATTTTTTCTTTGAAAAGCCAACTAAAATGAAAACATCTACATGTTCATCCACATAAATTACATTGTGGTCCTCAACATGGAGATTATTTGCTATGTTTAGTAAGTGACTTTGCTGACAAATTATTTTAACAATGCTTTGACTTATAAATACAGGAAAAAATAGTTATTTTAACCTCACACATTGTATAGATATTCCAATTAAGCAAAATGTTGAAAACCAAATAGAAAAGACTCTCTTGAAGAAAACAGGAGAAACAACTGTTAGTTACACTTTGGTGAAGGGACCACAGATTGGTACAATCACTTGGAAAGCAGTTTGACAGTATCTAGAAAATAGGCACTTTGTAACCTAGCAGTTTTATAATAGCCAAAAACTAGAAATAGCACCGATACTCATTAACAACAGAATGGATAACCATATTCACACATCGAAAAAAGGTTGAATCCTTTTCTTTTAATCTTCACCCAAGAATATTTTTCCATTGATTTCTGGAGTGCAAAAGGGAGGGAAAGAGAGAAATATCGATGTGATCCATGGGTTGCCTCCTGGAGAAGCCCTGACCAAGGCCTGGGCTGGGTACAGGCCCTTGACCAAAATTGAACCCAGGACCCTTCGGTCCGCAGGCCAATGCTCTATCCACTGAGCCAAACCAGCTAGGGCAAACTGGTTGAATCTTAAAAAAATAAATAGATTGAAAGAAGACATTGGCTGATGTGCTCAATGGTTAGAGTGAGGGGGGTCATGGTTTTGACTCCTATGAGGCAAGCAATCCATGTGTTTCTCTAACATCAATGTTTATCTCTTTCTTTCCCTCCCCTCCACTCTCTAAAAAAATCAATGGGGAGTGCTCGCTTTGGCAGCACATATACTAAAATTAGAACGATACAGAGATTAGCATGGCCCCTCCATAAGGATGACATGCAAATTTGTGAAACATTCTATGTTTAAATAATAAATCAATGGGGGAAAATCCTCTGATTGAGGATTAATGAAAGAAGACAGAAGAATATATAATGTATGATTTTATTTACATAAGAGTTCAGAAGCAAGCAAAATAAACCATAGCATGTAGGGAGGCATACTTAAAAGGACTAAACAAGAAATATTTATGGTAACAAGCATATCAGTAATTAGTTTTAGAGGAAAAGGGTTGTAATATGGGAGGGGAATGACAGGGCTTCTAAAGACATTTATAATGTCTTGATTAGATGAGTGTTTGCTTTATGAATTGTTAATGTACTTAATGTTTTATGTACCTTTCTTTATATGCTATGATTCTGGTGAAAACATTAAAAAAGAGAAAAACTAAAGGCTCTTTTATTGCTCTTTATTTAAAAACATAACCAGATGTATCATGGTAGTAGTTTATAGTCTCTGGTTGTCATTTAGTCTCAAAATAAACATAGGGAACATGTGATTAGCAACAGTTGTGTTTTTTTAAGGTGTTATATTTTATTTTTCTTATCTATGTTATTTAAATATTCAATTTTAGGTATCACTGCTATTGATCCAAAACAATGAGAAAGAAAATAAAATAAAAGAGTTAACATTGCTGCTGGAGGAATCCAGAGAAAAAGTGAATCAATTAGAAGAAAAAATAAGTAAGAATTTATGTAATAAAATATAACAATGTGTCTTATGTATTCCTCTTAGTTATGCTTTAATTTTTGGCTTTCATTACAGTTTTGCTGTAATGCTTTCTAGTACTGTAATTCTAGGCCTGAGTGAACCTGGACAAGGAGAGCATAATAGAGTCTCTTAAAGTGCTTTTTCAAAGTACATACACTCCTCTTTTTGTTTCATACTCTTATTTAGTTTCAAAAAAGTACTTTATGAAAACAGGGATCTGTATCTTTTTGTTCACTGATGAATTCCAATAACAATTAATTATTTTAATGTTCTTTATATTTCATCCTGAATTGTTATCCCTTTATAGGGAATGATTTGTTGGATGATATACCTCCTGCATTATACCAGTTTTAATTTTATATGTCATTTATAGAAGTTTTATTTAGTTTATGGGCATCTTCCTTACTTCTATTCATTTTTAAAGATTGATAGATATAATATTTATTTTTAAAAAGCCCATAGTCAGACGGAGCAGCTGGTTGTGGAACAAACCAGAGCAACAGAGGCCAGGCCCGGAGCAGCCTGGCCCAAAACAGCTCGCTCCTCACCTGCCCCTGCCCCACGGCTGCCTCTCAGACATGGCTGGAAACTTTTGCGGGAACTTGAGAGTCTGCTGAATCAAGTGATGAAGGCTTAGATCTGGATGTGTTGAGTTAGTATAGTCCTGGGGTGTTGATCTGTGAGTGCCTTGGGTGGGGCCTGGATGAGGCTGGTTGTCCTATTAGGAAATGTCTTTTGTGTGAAGTGTATCATTTGGCATGTGGAGGTATTATTGATATGAGAAAATGCTAAGTAACAGATTTGCTATCTGAAAAGGGATTTACTATCGGGGAAAGGGAGGGAGGAAGAGACTGAACATAAACTGTGCACCAATGGATGAGGATGAGGGGGCAGAGGGTGGGGTGGGAACCTGGTGGAGGGGGGAAGAAACGAGGAACCTGTGTAATAATATGAACAATAAAGATTGATTTAAAAAAAAAAAAAAAAAAAAAGATTTTAAAAAATAAAAAAATAAATAAAAAAAAAAAATAAATAAAAATAAAAATAAAAAGCCCATAGTCAGTAATCAGAACATCTGAAATCTTTTTAGGTCCAAGTCTGGCTTTTGTTTATTCTGATCCGATGAGCAACAGTTTAATGTAGCCATAACATTTACAGGATTTTCAAATGGGTACAATATAAAATCTGCCATAAAAATGATACATGATGCAAGATAGAATCCATTTTAATACTAGTACAATGGCAATAGCAGCTTTACAAATATTTATAGAATTTCTATAACACGTTTTTATAAACCTTTATACCACAAGAATGATTATATAATTTAAAATTGATATAGTACACAGTGGTTTATTAATATTAGAAACATTATGAGTGCCTAATAAAATATTTTGTACAAATGCTCAACTACTTTATTCTCAGTGATCATTTCCTTTATTCACACACTAGCCCGGCCTGCACCCTCTCCACTGGCTCCTAACCACTCATCTACCTGCCTGGCTAATGCCCCCAACTGCCCTCCCCTGCTGGCCTCATCACCCTTAACCTTCTCGCCTGATCTTGCCCCTAACACCCTGCTTGCCTGATCTCGCCCCTAACTGCTCTCCTGTGCCAGCCTGATCTCACCCCTAACTGCCTCTGCCTCGGCCCCCACCACCATGGCTTTGTCTGGAAGTAAGTCAAGATGACTGGAAGAAAGACATTTAACCTGGTCTAATTAGCATATTAACCTTTTATTAATATAGATAATATAAATGTAGCTAGCAGGTTAAAAAAATTTACTGGAAGCACCTATGTTTCTTAACTAAATATCTGTTGAATTTTTATCTATAAATGTGCTGTAAACATAAATGTGGAGGTCATAAAAAACAAAACAGTATCCCCAGGTCTGCTTTCCAGTCTGGTGACTTTTATAACACTATTTGGCACTTCACAGCAATATTTACCTATGGAAATACAAGCATTTCTGGAAAATGCTAAAATATCTTTTAAGCCTATGCTAACCAGGGGATATTTCAAGGATATCATCTATGTAGCTAAAACCCCTGGGTCCCTATCCATGAAGAACTCTCTCCTCCTGTGTGGAACTGCAGGGGGAGGTTACAGCATCAAAGATAGTCCTGCATGTTCCCTCACACTCACACTAATCCAGTTAGGTGTACATTATTATTTATACTGAATCAACAGGCTATTGAGGACAAGATATCAGGTCTTATGTGAATGTGCTATGGACCTCAAAGAATCCTTCTTAGGGCACTGTGGACAATACAAGGTTCAGCCTGAAGTCTTCATGAAATTTATATTTAGCTGTATGAATGTGGACAGCAGACATCAAAATAATGAATATCTCAGACTTCAGTGAGCCAGATATAACTCCCTACCTAAGATGCTAGAAATGATACATTCTAATTTTTAAGATCACATTGGACCTTTTGCTTCCAAACCTTTTGGAAAATAGGTGGGTTTGGATCTTGGATGCTCTTACCTCTTAACTGTTTATAATGAACATAAATAAAATCTAGAGGGTCTTTCTTATTGATCAAGTGTGCAGCACTTAGTGAATGCATGTGCTTTAAAAGCTGAAATACTTTTCAATAACCTGAAAATACCCAAGATGAATGGGAAGTATTGATAGATTATTGTCTTAAGGTCATTAAGTGTACCTACAGAGTACAAATTAGTTATCTAGTTAAATTTGAAAAACTTCTCCAACCTAAATTGGGTAATTCCAGGATTAACATCACTTTGGAGATTGTATTTTCCATTCTGTTTTCTTATTACCATGCAAACTATAAAATATCCAAATACCCACTTCACTAGTATACTACAGTAAATATGGGCTCCATAATACTGTAATTCTTTAAATGGAATTATAAATTAGAATACTTATTTATACATACTACATTTTTAAAAACGGAGTGGGTTGATTTTATGGATATTTTATGGATGAATACATGGAGTCAGGCAGAGTTGGCATCAGTTTTGTTCATCAAAGTTGCTTGTAGAAAGTGGCAGAGTTTGAGTTGGGCTTCTAGGGTGAGCCAGCTATGAAAAAAAAAAAAAAAAAAGTAAAGTCTCAATTATAATGTGAATTATGCTCCTTTAGCTAACACAATTCTCCTTCTTCCTTACTAACAGAACCCAGATTTTGTGCAAGGAAGCAATGCATCCAGATTCTAAAATCCAATTTTCCGCCGAGACCAGTTTGGCTCAATGGATAGAGCATGGACTTGGAGACTGAAGAGTTCCAGGTTCAATTCCGGTCGAGGGCATGTACCTTGGTTGCGGGCATATCCCCAGTAGGGGATGTGCAAGAGGCAGCTGATCGATGACTCTCTCTCATCGATGTTTCTAACTCTCTATCTCTCTCCCTTCCTCTCTGTACAAAATCAATAAAATATATTTTAAAAAATAATAATAAAATAAAATAAAATAAAATCCAATTTTCCCAGCTTCTCTGATATAATTAGAAGGTCCAGGATAGCAACTGTTAAAAGAGATTAGGGATATCTTAGCTAGCACACCCTCTTGTCCTTTGCACATCTTATCTTGTTTAGAACGTAGATATGAGTCTTTAGGAAGTACAGTCATTCTGCACCTTAATCAAAGCCCCACCTTAAGGATGGAAAAGCAATGATGACATGGTGAAGCTGCTGTACCAGTTACTGACTGCCTGCTTCTCAAGGGAATACGTAGGTAAGAAAAAAAAGCCCTTGGTTATGACACTGTATAGTCAGATTTCTGTTACCTGCAACCACATGCAAGACCTAACGAATGCAGTTGCTTTAAAGTTAAAGGAAGGAAGCGTAAGGGCTGGGTGGGAAAAGTCGTTCTATCCTCAACAACATTGCTAGACATTCTCCTACCAAGTGACTTTTGAGGAGCACAATATAGGGCATAGGGCCTATCTGTGATTTTTTATGTTGTTGCTAAATATGTGGATATATCATTTATTATATTTTTTCTTGTTTCTACATTACCCAGTCCACTGGGACAAAACGGATCCTAGAACTGAAGAAGGAAAGGAAGAGGCTTAGTCCTTCTGTGAGGCCTCTGCCCTCTGCTATCATTTCTAGCATCTTAAGTAGGCAGTTATATCTGGCTCACTGATATCACAATCTGTGTTATCACCAAGGAAGGTAATCCAGAGGCAGAGCCCTAGTGGATGCTCCAAAAGGAGGAAAGAGAAATCTGGCCACACATCCAAAGAAGACCATACAGTCCCAGGAGGATCAAGCTGTCCTGCAAAAGGCAGTTTCTCAATGAGGAGAGTGTTGGGGAGGAGTGGCCAGCAGTGAAGTCTATGGTGTAGCTTTGCTGCCAGAGGGACACAGTAATGTAAGCTTCATAGCCAACGAGGCCAGCAGCCCTGTGTCCCCGCACTCTAGCGGGGGTGGCAGAAGGATGGCTGTTCCATACAGATCTGATCAGGGAGAAGATAGGGACAAACATGGTTTGGAAAAAAATCACACCGGGTGAACTGATGTACGGGATTTTGGTGAGTGGGCATACAGGAAGATGACAAAGAAAACAGCTGCCAAGACCTTTCCTATCGACTCTGCATGAGCTGACTCCTAGCGACATTTCCATCCCTGTCTGTCACCACTGTAAGCTTGCTCTCTCTGCAGCCATTCTGGCCACTTTTCAGTTCCTCTGATAGACTATGATTCCTCGCACTGCGAGACCTTCTCTCATGTTGTTCTTTTTGTTTGGAACTTTTTCTTCCATGACATCCATGGGAGGCCCACCCCCATACTACATACCTAGCAAATGTCCATTCATCCTTCCAGTCTCACCTCATCACTTTCTAAGAGAATCCTTCTGAAATCATGGGTTCTATAGAACCCTATTCCTTTCCTTCACAGCACTTATTTTAGTGCACAGTTATCCATATATGTGATTATTTTATCAACATCTATTTTCCCCACTAGACTGAAAGTTCCAAAGCTGTAGATCTGTGTCTGTTTTGCTTATCACTATACCCCTGGTACTCCAGCACAGTGCCTGGCATATGAGAAGTGTTTAATAAATACTTAATAAAAAAATTTAAAAAACCAGACAGTCATTGGTGAAGTGAAGATGATAATCTTTACTATCTCATAGAATTTTATGAAGCCTAAATATGTGAGTGCTTTGTAAAGCATAAAGTATCATTTAAAGATTATTATTAAGAAAACTGCATTAGATTAAGATTCTAAACAAATGATTTTGAAGAAAAGGAACCAAAAAACTTTTTTTTTTCTAAAGGCTTACCTGAAACTTTCTCCTTAAGGCTCGTGTCATTACTGGGGTCAGTCCAGTTCCTGTTTCCATATTTTCTTTATTGGTAAGAGGGGTCCCACCTGGGCTCCTGCAAAGGTAATAAAACTATTAGAAACTGTATTTTATGCCAATTATCATGTAGATTTGGAAAACATAAAGATAAGACAGTGTATTACCTCTCTACATCGACTTTTCTAAGTAGTTTCCGCAGGTCTATCTGACTTTTACCAGGATTACTGATAAAATAAAGACATCAAAATTAGAGCTTATTAGATTTTATCATTTTTCCAAAAGCAAAGCAGTCATTTTTATAGATAACATCCTAGAAATAGTAAAAAATAGCAGTAGGCATTATTGATAGCAGATTAAGATGAAATAATAATTCTTCAGAGCAATACTTCTTGACTTAGTAATTACATATATACAAATCCATCTTAGGGAAAACTTAGCTATGCACACAGATGATGGATAAGGATGTTCATTGAAATATAAAATCATAAACAACCTAAATGTCTCAAAACAGGATTTTATCTATGAAATTTATATATAATAAACAGTATGTATTTAAGAAGCCAAAATGATGCTTTAATTTTTAATAAGATGGGAGAAGCTTATGACACACTGAATTGAAAAAGTCATAACTTATATACAATATGATTATACATAGGTATGCACACATACATTGTTTCCTTGATTGTAAGACATACTAGTTTTCATATTTTATTATTTTTGAAATTGAAATGCTTTAAACTTTATTTTATTGAGGTATACAAGTTACTAAAATTCTAGATAGTAATTTTTTCCCCTAAAATTTGTTATCAAATCAATAGTATCCTATATAATAATATGCAAATTGACCCTAATGATGGAATGACCAGAATGACCGGTCGCTATGATGCACACTGACCACCAGGGGACAGATGCTTCCACAGGGGGAAGTGATGGAGGGAGGCTTTCCCACTTCCGTGGCATCACTAAGAATGTCCAACTAGTGGCTTACACCCATACCCCTAGGGGAGCAGGCCTAAGCCATCAGCTGGACATCCCCTGAGGGGTCCAGGACTATGAGAGAGCTGAGGAACACTTCCCCCTGCTCCCGAGTGCATGAATTTTTGTGCACCGGGCCTCTAGTATTTTATAATAAATAACAGATTATATGCCTAGAAAAAGATTAGAATGATAAATAATAGTACTTTAACAGTAGGAATATTTAATGATATATTTAGTTGAATGATTTTTGTTTTCTTCTTTAAATTTTTTTGTAGATACAATTTTTCCCCACAATGCACATGTATAATTTTTAAAGTTAGAAAAAAGCAACAAAAAAAAACCCAAAAAACATTCTTTTAAGAAGTGGTAGAGGATAACATGGTGCAATTTCTTACATTAAGACATTTGTAACTCGAGTTGATAACGCTTTGGAGTTGGGCTTCAGGGTAAGACGCTGCAGGTCAGAGACAGTAACTAGTGGATTCTGTATCTCTGATGATGGAACAAGCTTTAATAGTAAAATGAGACCATTATAAAAAAAAACACATTAAAAATATTTAAAATGTAAACATGCTATATAAGTTGAATATTTGAGTGCTGGTTATGCATAAGATATAGCCACTACTCCACTCAATTTTTACTCTAAAGCTTCAAAGTATGTCTTTACCTCTTCAAACTAATGATTGGCACATAAAACTGCTAATTAAATAATTCTGGAATCTATGTATTTTGTTGCAGAGAGCCACAACTATTTAAATAAGACATCAAATACTTATCTTGGGATAGCTTCTACGCAAGACTTATATGTTTTTTCCATAAAGGGACAATCAGGCTAATAGCTTAAAGACTATGTATGATCAATGATATCTTACCTTTTTCCTTTCATCAAAACTCTGAGTTTTCTTTAATTTCACATTCATTAGATCTTTAACTGTTATCTGCATGGGTCCATCTTTTTTCAATGGTCCAGGCTTAAAATGCATGGAAAATTAGAATTCAATTTGGAACCATGATATTTAGTCAAATGCAAATCATAATATAGTTTTTAAAGACCTAGAGTTAAAAGTTATCTCTTATTTATCCTAGGAACCTATCAGATTCTTGTCACTTAATAAAGAATGATCCTGTTTTCAGTACCCAAAGATACTAAGGCTATTCATGAAATGTTACAACTTTGATAATTAGAGATGAGCTAGTTCCTGAAATTATGCATCTTCCTCAGTAGTCATTACAATAAGACATGAGTTAAAGTAGCTCCTCAAGTCAAAATGACATTTACCTCAACTACGTAAAAAGATGGTCCAGTTCCCATACAGCAAAAATGTACAATCAGAGAGATATACATTAGGGCAAATATAGCTGGTAGGCTCTGGATTTAACTCAGCCAGTATAAACCAAATGTATCCATAGTGAAAATTCAGCAGATTTTAAAACAGGATCATGGCTATCTTAGTGATTTACAAATATTCCAGTCCCCTTGACAGGAGAATAAACATAATGGAGACTGGTTCTCTAGCCTAATGGATCCACCAACTCTTTTTATTCAGAGTTTCTCACTAAGCTATTTTCTGTTCTTAATTTGGTTTCTCATGGAGGTTTTCCTCTTGGTAAAAAGATATGCTGACATTTTTCAAGGGAAACTTACTGGTTTAGTTGGAGAACAAAATAAAATATATGCTGAGAAACCAACAGAAATCTACTCCACTAAATTATATTCACTTATCCTTAAACAAAATAACTTTTATTTCTATATCTAGCTTTTGTGAGTTCCCAGGGGACAGATTTTTTATAAACACAATAATTGACATAATTAAATATGGAATCAGAATATGGCTTTCCTGTCAAAATCCTTAGCCCAGCCTTAAAATGACACCTGTCTTTACTCCTCCATTACATACTGATCAAAACACACTGTTAGTAGATTGCTTTTACCTGAAGTGCTTTGGTGAGATTGGATTTTCTGAGCAGCAAAGGTATTGTGGGTGGTGGAGGGGGAGGCAGAGGTGGAGGTGGAGGTGGAGGGGGTGGAGGTGGGGGTGCAGGAGGAAGATGGCCTGCTGGTGTGGCAGGAAGTACAGCTCCGGATACTCCAGGGGTGGTTAGAGCACAGGCTGGCACTGTTGGAAGTTTACCATTCATGTAACAGGGATGACCACAACTTGGACAGGAAGAATTTTCTGTTACAGTCTGAAAGAGGACATTATATTTGGCAAAGAAATAATAGATTAATTTGGTTCTTACAGCGAAAATCATTCACGTAAAAAGTACTATATAGAATACTTTCTCAGTACATCATGTTTTCTCATTTATCACATGTTCATTCATTCATTCATTCATTCAGTTATTCAGTTAAATCTATTATGTATCTTAGTAGATTATATGCCTAGAAAAAAGATTAGAATTATAAATAATAGTACGTTAACAGGAGCAATCTTCAATGATATATTTAAATTTAATTCAGACATTTGTTTTATGTATGCGATATGCCAGGCATTATATCTTTATGCATAATTTCAAGAACTAGCTCATCTCTAATTATCAAAGTTGTACCATTTCATGAATAGCCTTAGTATCTTTGAGTACTGAAAACAGATCATTCTTTATTAAGTGACAATTCACTTGTCGAAATGCAAAACCTTTGTTTTTGACTATGAAGTTCCATTGAATGTAGTCTACCCAGGTAACACAGGATCTCCATATCTCAAAATCCTTAATTTTATCTGCAAAGACACCTTTTCCCAAATAAGCTAAACTTTATAGGTAATATTTATAGGGATATTTATAAGGAAATATCTGTAGGGATTAGGATTTAGACATATCTTTTGGGGGGCTGTCACTCAGCCCACTAAAGAAGGCATCATCCCCACTTTGGAGATGATGAAACTGAGGCCGAGAGGAGTGAGGTGATTTGTCTTCCCTCATCTGGCTAGTTCATCTTGAGGTACAAATTCTGGGAGAAGGAATAAAACCTCAGAGGTTTCTCTCTAAACCAGTGAGTGCAATGTTTGTTCTTTGAGTTTTGGACATTGAGAATAGAGTTCTTGCTCAGGAGATTGGAGGGGGTGGATGTTTACAGTTTTGGGGTTTGTTTGTTTGTTTGTTTGTTTGTTTTTCTGCCTTTATTAGTCAAGGAAATAAAAACACCCTGAGTATTTCAGAGGTGGGGAATGTAATGTAGGCAGTTGGTCCCCCTGTTGCTGGAAGAGATGAGAAGCACTCAGGGGACAGTGAGGCAGCCCAGAACTTTTCAACAGCAGCAAGCTATGAATATCCTGCGAATGGAGGGACAAAGGAAAGAGCAGAAGCAGCAGATCTCTGGAGCTTGGTTAACCCAGAGAATCAAGAAATGTGGTAGGCTTACCTTGTGGGAGCTGGAATTTGAGAAACAACTACAGCTATTGTGGAGAAATGGCCCAACACTGACAATGATAGGGGAAAAAACCCTATCTTCTCCTTCACTCTAGTCTCCCATTGTGCCTACTATTAGTCCAGCACAACCAGGAACCAGGTGACACAGAGCTTGGGGAAAGTAACCTAAAGGGGCCAGCATCCCTGCAATAGGGAGCAGAGCAGTCATTCCTTTCCTAATAAAAGCCCATTGAGATTCTTATGGGAGACAACCCCTTCCCTCCTTACCTAATCCCAAATTTGTGTGAATTTTTAAAAATGTGTGGGGTTTTTTTTTGTTTTGTTTTTTATTGATTTCACAGAGGAAGGGAGAGGGAGAGACAGATAGAAACATGAATGATGGTAGAGAACCACTAATCACCTGCCTCTTGCACACCCCTTATTGGGGATGAGCTTGCAACCTGGGCCTGTGCCCTTGACTGCAATCAATCCTGGGACCCTTTAATCACAGGCTGATGCTCTATCCACTGAGCCAAACCAGATAGGGCCCCAGATTTGTTTTTTATTTGATAACTAAAGGCTGGTGCAAGAAAATTCATGCACTCAGGGTAGTCTCTCAGCCTGGCCTGCACCCTTTTACAGTCTGAGAGCCCTCAGGGGATGTCCCACTGACAGCTTAGGCCTGCTCCTCTGTAGGAGGTGACCAGCAGGCTAATTGGGAGATGCACCAGCCAGCGAGTGGCTGGCCCTGCTCCCCTATTGCCCCTCTGCCATCGACCCCTGATCACTGCCCACTCCCTTTGCCTGCTGGCACCGGCTTTGGCTGGCCTGGTGCTGCCCACTTGATGGCTCCGCCCCCCCGCTGACTGGATTGCTCCTTCGTTATGACAGTTTGCATATTAGCCTTTTATTATATAGGATACTAACCTTCAGGGCTTCTTTGAGCTTGCATAGTTCACTTTCCAAAACACAAAACTGTTGTTTTAAACTATGAAGTTCTTGGTGGCAGAAACGGGAAGGAAAGATGATGTTTTTCAATACTTCTAAACTCTAAAATTAAAAAATACACAATCCCGACTCTGATGAGCAATAAGATAAGGATAAGAAAAGAGGACAAGAAAATGGTCTTGTTTTACAGAAACAAAGACAGATATGATCCCATAATTTCATCTTATCTGAGCTTAGCCTGAATGCTGTGCTGACCTGAGTGCACACACATAGCAGATGTGTAGTGCTGAAAACAGGTATATCACACCCATACCTGGACTATGCAGTTCTGGCACCAGTGGTATATAAACCATCCTCTACTTGTCCAAAGTTTCACTGCATCTTTGATATTGGGAAATTTGAAATTCCAGGATGGTTTTAGCCAGCTTCTGCTAAGAGGTGTGTTTGCTGAAGAAATCACCACTCTGTGGGAAAAAACAAAACCAAATAAAGCAAAACCTCCTGAGTTGGAATAATAGCCTCTAATTAAACAACAAGCTAGTTTTATAGTGTAAGTCAGGAACAGACACTATCTAAAGTCAAATTTTTCAGTAAATTCTAGAATTCTGGGATTCACTTATGCAACAAATATTTGTTGAGTAAATAAATAATGAATAAAATAAATTAAATAATAAATAAGAATCAGGGATTTAGTAATAAATCAAAATAGGCAAAAACCCTACCCTCATGGAGTTTAAAGTTTAATGGAAGAAAGATAAAAATAGGTAAATAAATAACATATGTGAGTTGTTAGTGTATAAATACTAAGAGGATAAAGTGAGAAGGGGGGGATGTGAAATGTTGGCTGGAGATGAAATTTTCGATAGGGTAGCCAGAAAAAGTCTTGCTGAAAAGACCTTTTTTTTGGGGGGGGGAGCGGTAGGCGGGGATGTGAGGGGGGTAGAGAACCCTAAAGGAAATACAGAAGCTGGCAATTCAAATATCTAGAAGAAGAGCATTCAGGCAGGGGCAAGTGCAAAGGCCCTGAGGTGGAAGTCTATTGAGGCCAGGATGACTTGGGTGGAGAAAGAGAAGAGAGAACGATTACGAAATAATGTCAGTCAGATCATAAAGGCCTTGAGGTCATACTATGGACTTTAATTTTTTCTCCGAGAGAGAAAAATATTAAAAGCTTTAAGTAGAGAAGCAACAGGACACGATTTTGACAGACTTATTACAGAGGATGAAAAGGCAGAAGCAGAAAGACCAGTTAGAGGCTTTGTGAATACTGGGGAGAAATGGAAAAGAAGATGATATAATGGTAACTGCTTTTTGAGGGCCTGTTTGTTTTAAAATTTTTTCTGTAAAGAGAGCTGTAACAACAAAATGTATAAGTTGTTATTGTGACACAGTGCCCTTGGGTTCCTAGAACTTAAAGTCTCTTTCAATAACATATTTAAGCCTTGAGTCCCAGGGAATAACAGACCTAACTTTACCAAAACTTAGATTTAAATTCCAATGTTATACCTCTCTTTCCTCACTTGATTATCATATTTATGCAAGTAAATTGAGTAAGAAAAAGAGAAAATAGTTATGGTGTACCTCCAACACAATTCCTTGTGATCATTACTTCATTTGAACTCGTAGACTATAGTTAACACACAAAATTCAAGGATGCTCAGTTAAAATTCAATTTCTGAATAAGTATATTAGAAATGTTGCTTGGGACAATAAAAAAACACATTGTTTATCTGAAATTCAAATTTAACTGGGCATTCTGTATCTTCATTTGCTAAATCTATTATAGTAATTTTATCCTAAACTGATGGGATTTTTAATTTTTTCATCCGTTCCACATTATGTTTTACCTTTCTGTTGAGGGTGATGAAGGGGGAGGGGTAACTTGCTTGGACTGAAAGTGAGAGAATTCTTTCTTTTTAAATAATCTTTTTGGTTTTATTTTTCGCTTCCTTCTTTGTTGCTTGAACTTGAGCATGATTTCTGTAGAGATAAAAAATATTTTTTAAAATTTTTTCTTAAAGCCCTAGCTGGTTTGGCTTAGTGGAGAGAGTGTCGTCCTGCAGACTGAAGTGTTTGAGTCCAGCCAAAGGCATGTACCTCGGTTGCAGAATAAATCTCTGGCCCTGATCAAAGTGCATGGGGGAGGCAACCAATTGACGTCTCTCTCACATCTATGTTTCTCTCTGTCGCTCTCCCTCCCCTCCACTGTCTCTAAAAATCAATAGAAAAAAATACCCTCAGATGAAGATTAATATAAAAATATTTTTGTTCTTGAAGAATACTAAGTACATATAAAAAAATGCACATATCTTAAGTGTATTATTCAATGAATTAAACTTAAACATACTCTGTAACCACCACCTTGGTTAGAAAATAGGTCACTACAAGCAGCCCAGAAGTCCTCTAACGTAGAGAAAAATTTAAATCCATATTTAAACTATCTCTAGAGACCTTGGCTTTGGCATTACATTACTAATTTTGTTTTGCTTGTCTTGCTTTTCTTCATTAAATAAAGTGATTTTCCCTTTCTTTATAACAGAGAAAACAGCTGTCGTTGGATTATGGTATGTCACTCAAAAGAATTAACTTTCTTTGCCAGTAACATTTACTGAACATTCACTGTAATGGGCAAAGTTGGTAACAGAAGAAAGAAAATTAACCATTTACTTTTGACTGTACTTTTGTAAAGTTGGGGCCAGATTACTACTAAGGGCTAAAAAATATAAGCATATAAAAATGATTAGGGAGAAACTTGTACAAGTAATCATAGTGATACTATGTGTTCCACTGTTAAATATTTAATAGTGTAAAAACTGAATGTTTATTCAACCAGAAATGATGATGTAGGTATATTGGAAAGAAAGAAAAGTAAAAATTATTAGTTGTCTAAATGTATATAATGTCTAAAATTGAAAAAGAGAGAGAGAGAAAGAAAGAGAGAGAGAGAGAGGGAGAAACAGTATTATAAGTATGTCATTTAGATGGAGGTAAATGTCAGAAAAAATTACAAGACTGGACAGTGTTGCCTTTGGCAATGGGAGTCAGGATTATAGGTAATTCAGAGAATTGCCATTTTTCGTTTGTTCTAGCTTTGTGTTAGTGGTTGACAGTTGACCTTTGGAATATATTATTAACTTGAAAAATAAAATACCACCATTCTGAAACTGGGCCATCTCTTTTTAGCTCTTTCCTGGTGGTTGTTCCAGTACCCATGCATTCACATTGCTTATGAATCCTACAAAAGCCATTGTGGAGATTATTTTTCAATTTAAAAAAAGTGTAGGAACTAATTCATGTTTTCTCCTCTGGCTCGGTGTGTGTGTGTGTGTGTGAGAGAGAGAGAGAGAGAGAGAGAGATTGAAAGAGAGAGAGAGAGTGTCCTGGGTTCTGGGTCATTCTCACTCTAATAGTCTTCTAATTAAATACATGCAGACAATTAACACATGCGGACAACTCAGAGACTATGTCAAATCTGTCAATGTAGAAAGGTGCAATCCAAGATAATTCTTAGATTAATATTCTATTCAAAAATAATCTCAGCTCTCCCAAAAATTAAAGATAATTAATTTCCACCTCAAACAGGAAAAAGGACTCAGCAAGCTAAGGCTTGTTTTATTTTCATTGCTTTATTAAAAATACTACAGCCTTGGCCTGTGTGGCTCAGTTGGTTGAAGTGTCATCCGTACACCAAAAGGTTTAGGGCTTTATCCCCAGTCAGGCATATATGGAAGGCAACCTATCAATGTTTTTCTCTCACATCAATGTTTCCCTCTTTCTCTCTCTCTCTCATCAATAAGCATATCCTTTCTACTTTGTAGAGGATAACTTTCCTATTAAAAGAATATATAGCAATTTTCCTTGGGATTAAAAACACATATACCGTAAATGTCCGCTTTCCAAAAGAGTAATAAAAACATACAATTTTTTTTTTTTTTTTTTTGCTGGGTTAGGTGGGATTCCAATTACTAAAGCTCATTCTTCCATGATTACACAAAGTACTTTTCCTATTATTTTTTTAAATTGAAAAGTATTCTTCTTTCCTTTTTATGTGCCTTGTTTTGAGAAGATTTTAAGGCAAATTACAAAGAACCTATACCACAACATAAATTAAAAAAAAAAATAAGTGAAAAAAATACAATTGTAGAATAGAAAATATGAAGTATCTATATACTAAAATCCTAAGCGACTGTTTTGGCGGAATGACCAGAATGACCGGTCACTAATATGTGCACTGACCACCAGGGGGCAGATGTTCAATGCAGGAGCTGCCTCCTGGTGGTCACTGCACTCCCACAGGGGGAGTGCCACTCAGCCAGAAGCTGGACACACAGCTGGCGAGTGCAGTGGCAATGGGGGGGCCTCTCCCACCTCTGAGGCAGTGCTAAGGAGCATCAAGCTGAGCAGTAAGGAGCAGCAAGGTATCCCAGACTGCGAGAGGGCACAGGCCGGGCTGAGAAAACCCCCCTCCCCAGTGCAGGAATTTCATGCACCGGGACTCTAGTCTATATATAAAAGCCTAAGTGACCGAACAACTGGTCAACCAGTTGCTATGACAAGCCCTGACCACCAGAGAGCAGATGCTCAATGCAGGAACTTCCCCCTGGTGGTCAGTGCACTCCCACAACGAGAGCACTACTCAGCTGACTGACCTGTCCAGGCGGCCCACCAGCCTGGGGGCAGCCACTCACTCCCTCAGTGGTCCTGCAGGTCCAATCACCGGAGAATGGGCCAGGCACCAATGGACCGGCACCGCTGACACAATCTTGCCAGCACCGCCAGCCTCCTGTAAGTTGGCTTCGGGCACCCTTCACTTCCCATCCCTAAATGCTCAGCAAGGAAGAAATATTATAAAAGTGACCACCAGGTGGCTTCTGACAACCGGTGCAAACAGCGGGGCAGATGCGGATCCCAGGCCAGCAAGGGTGTTTCACTGACCACCTGGAGGGCTGATCATGTCCCAGTCCCTCTCCCACATCCCTTGGGACAGGCGCCAGACACAGGGCTCACCATCAGGACTGACTGGACGCAAAGCACAGAGGGGCAGGATTGAGTAGGAGTGACAGGCAGGAGCAGCAGGCAGCATTGGACTGCCAGTTTCAGCCCAGTCCCTGCAGGCCACATGGAGGGACTCCACCCGTGCATGAATTGGTGCACCGGGCCTCTAATGTTATATATAAGACACACATATATACATTCATATATAAGTCATAAATATTCCTCTAACTTATTCCGTCCCTTCTCCTTATCATCGCTTCCCTTTCTGTCCTCTAACTTCAGTTGCTTTCACCCTCTTTCCCCTGGGCTTTCCTCTATTTTTGTTTTTTTGCTATAACCTATTTTTGTCTATTCTTTTTATTTTGAAAAATTTCAAATCTTGAGAAAAATTTAAAAATAGAGCACTAAACACTCATACCTTTCACTTAGATTCACCAATTATCTGTTGGTTATCTTTCTGAATAGGTGTATTTTAAAATAATGTATTTTATGTCATATATATTCCTAAAACACATTTTTATGGAGGTTTTTTACATTTTCCCGAAAACAGCTTTCAGTCCACTAATCAATTTCCACTACCAACCAGTTCAATTGATTCCTCTTGAACATCCTCAGGGCTATCTCTGGTACTTTCATATATTTAATTTTATATTTTATGCTGTAAAGCATTGCTTTTTAAGTTCTTGGCTCTTTTTTTTTTTTTCCTTCTCTTTAGAAATTGCAGCTCCTTAAACCCTAGTCCAGCACAATATTAGGAACATAGACAGTGTACGGTACATACTTCTAAAATGGACATTCTCATTGAATGTGGGATGATAATACGACTATATGAAGGATTATAGTAATACTCCCAGTCCAGAAATTAACATTCTCGAACTTTAATGTGCATGAGAATCACTGTGTGTGTGTGTGTGTGTGGTGTGTGTGAGGAATGTCGTTAAAATGCATATTGATTCCCTAAATTTGGGTGGAGTCCAATAATCTGCATTGTGCACAAGCTCCCAAGCGATGCAGATGCCAGAGGTCCGTGGTCCACACTTTGAGTTGCAAAGATGCGAAGAACTGTGCAAAAGAAAGGCAAATACTTTCCTCCAAGACAATTTTCAGAGTGTTCATTATATAGAAATATGACTAGGGTGGCATCAGCGGGACCCCTTCTTACCCGCCTCAACCTCCTCTGCCCCTTTCCGCCTCCCCTCCGAATCCAGCCAAAGAGTCCCCACCTCCGTAAACCACTAAGAACACGAGCAGAAGCAGGCCCCGCCATGGAAGACACGAGCCCGGGTAACAAAGAAAGATATCCCTGCACTTACTCGTCTGAGAGCCGGGGGATTCGATGAAGTCCGGGCAGTGGCCTCGCCCTCGCCATGAAGAAAAATTCAAAATTAAAACCTTCACGGTGTAGGGACCAATCGCAGTCCTGGTCTCCCCGCGAATAGCTCTGCCGTTAACGTCAAGGGCACAGCCTGGCTTGTGATTGGCCGAGACCACGGCACGCGCCGGCCAATCAGAGCCGAGGCGCTTCTGGTATGAATAAGGAGAAGGCGGGCGTGAAGGGGAAGAGCCGCCGGAGAGGCAAGGGGGTGTGTCACCTCCCCTAGGCGCTTGGTTGGAAGCCTTTGTGTGATTGGCTGGCTCTTCTTCCGACCGCGCCAATCGCGATCTTCTCGGGCTGAGTCCTGACTGTGAAATTGAAAGTAGAGACGAGGAGGCAGCCAATGTAGAAATATAAAATGTACAGCCACCAACCCTCCGGCGGCATTGTGTGTCTTTGCCCAACTGGAAAAGGTGTTTCAGGAGGAGGGGCGTCGCCTTAATCGCCAATGGGCGGGCGCCGGGGAAGCGGGGGAGCCAATGAGGGCGAGACGTTGAGTGACAGCTGTCCAATAGGGACCCTCCGTGCTTAGTACGGGTTTGCGCCTGAAGCGCGCCGCCGGGGCCTGAGGAATGTCAACTATTCAACATGGAGGAGGAGGTCGACAAGCTGGAATTGATGGTGAGTGGGAAGTGAAGGAGATCTTCGGGGTAGTTTGTTTTTTCCCCCCGAAGTGGGAAGCGGTTCAGAAGTCGCCGGAAACCCTGGGCGGCGGAGGCTGGACTAGACCTGAGTTCCCTCCTCCGGCACCGAAGGGAGTCATCGCCGCCGCCGGCGCCGCCTGGTTTTTTTAACCGCCTCGGGGGAAGGGGGGCGGGGGGAGGAAGGGTTACATCCGGGAAACCGGTGAGGGAAATGGCGGGAGATGCTGAGGGTGTGGGGCCAGTGGGATTTTTTTGTTGTTGTTGTTCCTTGCCTTCACCTTTCCGCACCTTTACGGACCTGTGGCTGGTTGCAGACGTTTTGTATTTCTACAAAAAACAAAACAAAAACAACAACAACAACAAAAAAATGAAGACTTGCATGGTCACAAAATATCTTAAGAAGGGGAGAAGTCTTTCCCATCACACCCCAGAAAAGAGGGATGGAGGGTGGGTCTGGGTGGGGATAAACCGTGGGCGGTGGAGAGAAATCCCTTCGGGGCTGAACTGTTTTGTTGTTGTTTTTTGCATCCTCCAAAGGCGGGCTGAAAAGTCTGGCAAAGGATGCTAGACTTGCGTGCTCAACTTCCTAGAGCCAGGAAAGCTTCTAGACTAGTTTTTTTTTGTTTTGTTTTGTTTTGTTTTGTTTGTTTGGCTCTAAGGGGGCAGGCAGTCCTTAGATGGAGGGGTGAGGGGAGGCGGAGCGATGGGCACCAGAACCATGAGCTCCTTTCCTAGTTTCAGGATGGGGACCAGGAAGGCAGCCTGCTCTCCAGTCGCCTCGTTTCATTCATTTGTGGAAGGAGGGGGCGGGGACTCCCGCCGCTGCGTGGCCTGCGCTGCCCGAGGGCGCCTTGCTGGAGAGCTGTCCTAGTTTTCTTCCATGGATGTCTCACTGCCCTCTTTATTCTCTCCCTCCCGGCCCTGGACGACCAGCTGGATCGCCCGCGCTTTTTTTTTCCTTCTCTTTTTAGTTCCTTATCTTCATCCTGCTTTTCTCACCTGCATTACCAGCTTTTTTATTTTTATTTTATTTTTTGATTGGACTGGCTTCCTTGAAAACGTGTAATTTGGAGGACACACCCATCATTGAGCTCCTACCAGTTTTTCGTTCTAGAAAAATAAGATTGAGAAGCCAAAATCTTTTCCACCTACAGCCCTCCCCTCCTCTCGTTGCTTTTCCCTGTCATTACTTTTTAGGGATTTTTTTTTTTTTTTTTTTTTTTTTTTTTTTTTTTTTTGCCTGTTTTGCCCTCTCCAAGCTGAATATTGGGTCACTTTACACACCTGCACATGTAATGATTCTGAATACCACCATCCTCACCCCTATTCCCACCCCCACCCCCCAGAACATGTGAGACCTTGATATAACTTATTTTCTTAGATGTATTAATGAATTGTAGTGCCTCATATAAAAATTCGATTTGAACTTTCAGTTGCTTCTAGTATTTTGAGTTTTAATTTTCTTGGTGGGGGGGACCTGGAGATAGGGAGGGAGAGAAATGGCAGAGAAGAAGGATTTTCTGCAGCTTTCCAAAGCTGTAATAATGAACTTTTAGTTCAAGGTTTTGTTATCTTTATCATTAACTCTCTTAAAAAAAAAAACAACCAACAACCACAAAAACATGTTAAAGAACTGTTAGTAGTTTGATTCTATCAACAGGCATAAATGTTAACATTGTCTTGCTCTGCTCCCCCCTTCTGAATTCCCTCTATATCCACACTTTTGCCTAATTGTAAGATGCTAAATGATACTACTTTTGCTTTTAACAGTTTTTCTCTTTTCAAGTTGGCTGTTTAATTAAGGTACCAATTAAGCCTTTTCTGGACTTTGCAATATATTGAGTCAATAATCTCATAGGTCTTTTTTTTTTTTTTAATAGATTGAACATATTTTATTTTAAGGAGAAAATGATTAAGTATACATCTTGAAAGTAGGTTTTAGAGAATTATATAGTAGCCAGACTCAAACTTTTAAAAGAGGAAGAGAAGAAAGCAGATCTGTGAACCACTTTAGTTTTTAAGATTCTAAATGTAAATGATTTTTGATGCAATCCTCTAATTTCTAGTTGAAATATTCTAATATCTGATTGATGTGGCCCAGAATTTTAGGTCAAGACACTCACGTTCCAGCTGTCCTGAATTTTGTTCATTTCTTCATAGGCTCAATCCAACTAAGTAGTTGAACTGGACCATATAAAAAGAAAGATTAGTGAAAATAATGGAAAGTGTGTTTTCATCAATCAACAATATTAATTGGGAAATAAGTTTATTGTAGGGTTCTTTAACTTTTTTCCTTTACTTAATGAGGGTATTTGTCTAGTGACCTTTTGTGGTACTGCTGATTGTGCACAAAAGGTAGTATAAGTGATACAGTTTCTACCTCTGGGCTTACATCTGACTTTTGAATGGTTTCTTACCAGTGAGGATGCAAATTGGCTTGAATTCAAGGAAACCTGGTACTTCAATCTTTACATTTTGGAGACACACACACACACACACACACCCCGTTATCCCATTATTTTCTCTTTAATTTTTAAAAAATATTTCTTTATTGATTTCAGAGAGAGAGGGAGAGAGAGCTAGAAACATCAGTGATGAAAGAGAATCATTGATTGGCTGCCTCCTACACACACACCCCTCCCTTACTGGGGATGCAGCCCCCAATCCTAGGCATGTGCCCCGACCCAGAATGGAACCATGACCCACTGGTTCATAGGCTGATGTTCAACCACTGAGCTACACCAGCCGGGCCTCTTTGATTTTTAAATTTAAGAAAGATGTTTTGATGTTTTAGGGGTTAATTGAAAACTGAAAATGCCTTTTCATAATCAGCTAGGTAGGGCTAATGCTGTCATGTTTAGGATACGTTGAGTCCCTGGAAGTCTTTAAACTAGATAAAAAGCCCTAAGGTGGTAAGAGCTTTTTGTATTTTAGTTTAAACTAGGGGTCCAGTGCACGAATTTGTGCACCTTGAAAGGAACTCTGGGCCACGAGGCTGCAGTGGACACAGGGGCAGGTCTTGACCCAACCTACATGGCCTCTTCCAGCCCTTCCTGCTGTGGCCTCTGCCCCTTGTCTGCCGGCAGCCCCATGCCTACTGCCACCTCTCCTACACGCTGACGGTGTGAAGCCATTGGGGCCGGCCCTAAGAGTGGGTGCAAGCAGGGCTGGTGCTGTCAGTGGGTACAAGCAGTGGCTGCTGCCCCAATCACCCCCAGAGCAGGAGGAGGTGGAGAAGCCCGCAGGGGAGATTGGGTCTGGCAGCTGCTGCTAACACCTGCTGATGGCGCTGAGCGATCAGGACCAATGCCAGGCACTGGCAGTGGGTTCGCACCAGAAGCTTGCCCCGACAGTGACTGGCGCCCCACTCACCTACAGCCACCATGTTCCATGCTCTGCTGCCTGCTGCAGACACCTGCCATTTTCCGAGCTCACCCCCAGTGGTCAGCACACATCATAGCGACTGGTTGTTCGGTTGTTCCACTGTTTGGTCTATTTGCATATTAGGGTGTATTCCAGAGATAAATTGGGTATATAGAGATTGGGAAACATTATTTTACTTTTTTTTCTTTGATATTATTCAAAAGACATGTTTTATATGGAAGTTAATCAATTGCTATGGAGGTGCTAACCAATTTATCTTAGCAGAACAGAAATATTTTTTGAACTTTGTAAAACTTAGGACATATTTACAAAATTCCTTTATTTATATACATGCTTATATTTCAATATTAATCATAGGTTAGTCATAAAAAAAAACCTCATTTTGATATTTAAGTCTGATTCTTTTTTTTTTAACATTGATATAAGTGTTCTTAGGTTTTGCATGTCTTCTGTCCAAAATGGGAATTCTTCTTTAAATTTTTTTCTCACTGAAGCTTCAAGTCTTGCAAGATGCTTTTGTATTCCTTTTCTACCTTTACTGCTAACGAATGCTCTGACTTTATTGCACTACTGTACTTGACACTAGCAGTGCAATAGTATTGTCAAAGCATCTGAAAGCAGCATGCACACCAGAATTTTGATTCTTGCCTTACATCTTCAATATCTGTGAGTAATTTACCAAAACCTTTGTTCCTGAAAACTTTTTTTGTATTACAAAAAATTTTATTACCAAAAGTGTTTTAAAAATCATAATTTAGAAAAAAGTTTTTAACTAATTAAAAACACACTGCATTATGAAACACATTAAGAGGAAAGTTTTTATAGCTAAAGTTGTTATGGCCAATTTAAATGAGTAGCACTTTGTAATTTGCTTCTTTCTGTAACGAATTTTGATAGGCTCTGGCAAATCTCAGGTATTATTTAATTGAATTTTAAGATGAATTAGTGAGGGATTAAAGTAATGCCAGTTGAATATTTCCTATGACAACTTTTCCTCTATCTTAATCTGTGCATCGTGTGGCAAATGCTCAAATTTAAAACTTAAGAATGCTTGATTTAAAGTTCTTTCTTTGTAATTCAGATATAATAAAATGTGAATCAGCACTATTTTTTTTATAATCAGTTTTATTAAGATATAGTTTACATACATTAAAACTTACCAATTTTAGGTGTACAATTTGATGAGTTTTAACAAATGTATATAGTCATATAACCACCATGCCCTTTTTATGCCCTTTTGCAGTCAACCTCTTCTTCCCAAATTCCCTGACAACCACTTGCCTTTTCTGGAATTTCGTGTAAATGGACTTATATGTAGCATACAGTCTTTGTGTCTGGTTTTATGTGTGTGTGTGTATGTGTGTCTAGTTTCTTATACTTAACAAAATGCTTTTGAGATTTGACCATGTTGTATGTATTAGTAGTTGGACCATTTTTATCGCTAATATTCCTTTGTATAGAATTATCACAAATTGTTTATTCATTCACCAGATTATTAACTTTGGGTTGTTTCCAGCATTTACCCATTTATGAATAAAATTGTTTTGAAGATTGTATTGCAAGTCTTTGTGTAAACATAATGTTTTTGTTTTTCTTGAGCAGCATGCTAAACATATGCTTGATTTTATAACAAACTGTTGAAATCTCTTCCAAAGATACATATTAGGATTTCAGTTTCTCTACATCCTCACCAACACTTTGTATTGTCATTCTTCATTTTAGCCATTCTCATAGATGTGTAGTTATATTTCATAATTTCAATTTGCATTTCCTCAATGGCTAATGATATTTAATATATTTTCACGTGCTTATTTACAATTGATATATCCTCTTTAGTGAAGTGTCAAATCTCTTGCCTATTTTCAATTGAGTTGTTTATCTTTTTATTATTACATTATTAATCCTTTAATATTCTCCATTATTTGCCTTCTTACTTAAAAATTTTTTATGCAACCCTAGACAGTTTGGCTCAGTGGTTGGAATGTCTGCACATGAACTGAAAGGGTCCTGGGTTCGATTCTGGTCAAGGGGGAGTATCTAAATTTCAGGCTTAATCCTAGGCACTGGTCAGGGCTGGTGTGGGAGGCAACCAGTCAATGTGTTTCTCTCACATCAATGCTTCTCTTTCTCAGTTTCTCCCTGTTCCTTCCACTCTCTCTAAAAATCAATGGGGGAAAAATATCCTTAGGTGAAGATTCTAAAAAAAAAATTTATGTAGTTCAATTTATATGTTTTATTCTTCAATGATTTATACTTGCTGTGTTCTAAGAAATATTTTCCTAATTCAAGGTCACAAATACTTCTATGTTTTTTTCTAGAAGATTTACAGTTTTAGTTTTTATATTGAGATCTATTCATTTTTTAGTTCATTTTCGTATATGGTATCAGATATGTGTGGAGGGTCTTTATTTTTGCATATAGGTATCCCCTTCTTTTGGTACTATTTCTTGAAAGGAGTATAATTTCCTCAGTGGATTACCTTTGCTCCTTTGTAGCAGTCAATTGAGCATGTATGGGTAGATTTGCTTATTTTTGAACTATATTTTGTTTCATTATATTGTATCAGCCTAGCATAAAGTTATCACTGTAGTTTTTATGATTGATGATATCTGTCATTAATAATGTCCAACTAAGCCTAGTTGATGTGGCTTAGTGGTTGAGTGTCGACTTATGAACCAGAAGGTCATGGTATGATTCCCAGTGAGGGCATATGCCCAGGTTACAAGCTCTCAATCCTCACTGTGAGGCATGCAAGAGGCAGGGGATCAATGATTCTTTCTCATCATTTACATTTCTAGGTCTCCCTCTCCCTTCCTCTCTGAGATCAATAAAAATCTTTTTAAATTAAATTATGTGCCATATTTTGTCTATTCATCTTTTAATGGACACTTGTATTGCTTCCACCTTTTGTCTATTATGAGTAATGCTTCTATAAACAAGTATACAAATACCTGATTGTGTCCCTGCTTTCAGTTCTTTTGGGTATATAGCTAGAAATAAAATTACTAGATCATATGGTAATTCTACTTTTATTTTTTTTTGTTTTCTGTGTTTTAAAGTCTATTTATAATCCTATTTATTTTATTAAATTTTTTCCCAACTGGAACAGTGTACACATTACTTTAAAAGGGCATGAGAATTAAAACAAAAATAAAAACAAAAACCTTTTGAAAGTAGAAAGCCCAGACTTTTAGCATTTGCCAATTTTCCTGGCGTAAATATTCCATCTTGACCAATTTTAAGCTTCCACCATGATGTGATTGATGTATTTTCCACTATACAGATTTACTTTTGGCATCTAATCTAACAAGTATCATAATATAAGACATGAAAAACCTCTATTCTTTATTTTTTGATTTTTAAAATATATATATATTTTTATTGATTTCAGAGAGGAAGGGAGAGGGTGGGAGAGATGAGAAAGAATCATTGATCAGCTGCCTCCTGCACACCCCATACTGGGGATCCAGGCATGTGCCTTTGTAACCAAACAATCAATGGGTCCCTGCTGCCTATCACTACTTGAGCCAATTAAGTGCAGAGACAGGGTTGAATCATATATGAGCATTTATTCCAATACTGCCGGCAGTATGAGAGCTGCAGGTCACCCACAAAAATCTGTTCTGCAGCCCCCCATAAGCCAGCTGCTTATATAGGGTAGGACAAAAATTACAAAAAGCCTCTATTTGGAGGGAAACACTTAAAAAAATTTTTTTTAAATTAACAATGTCTACATTTGTGTGTGTGTATTGGGAGGGGGTTGCTCATAGCAACTCATTTGCTGTTAAGAGACTTTTGGAAAACATTTAAAAGCAAAAACTGGCTTTCTCCTTTTACTTCCACTCGAAGTTTTTTTGGTTATAAAGATAGAATGTTGGTAATTACAGAATTTTCCATTCAGATTTAGGTCAATGATGAGAGAAATTAGTGATGGAAGTTTTAGTATATCTCTTTCTGAAATTTTGTTCAATGATGACAGTTTCTGATCGTAGAAGCATTTGAACTTCTGAGAGCCATTTTATCTTACTCTATATTCCAAAGTAGAGTCCTTAGTCTACCTTTTGTGTAAAGAAAATATCTGTAGACTGTTTCTCATTAGACCTGAGAACTACGTTTACAGTGGGGTTTTTTGGCCTTTACTCTTTCCACTAAGGGTTCGAAATTTCAAGAACCAATCTTTACTTCAGAGCTTAAGTTCTTAATAAGGTCCAAACTCTATCCCCAAAGCAATTTCCTACGCTGTAGGCTAGGCAATTTCCTTGTGGAAATCATGTTTTGCCTTCCATAGTAAACTCATGGATGTTTCCTTGGTAAATTAAAGGCAGTATCTGCTTTAAGATCATATAAAAGATGCGGAATTTTGAAAAGTTAAGAATAATTTTTTTCAGACAAAAACCACTTTTTCTTATTTTAAAAATATGGAATGCTCCACAAATTTGCGTGTCTTCTTTGCGCCGGGGCCATGCTAAATTTTCTATCGTTCCAATTTTAGTATATGTGCTGCTGAAGCAAGCACTAAACCACTTTTTCAGTTAGATATCCTTTCCAGTTTTTCTATATGTACACACACATATTTAGATCTGTGGCAGCTTTCCCTCCTTTTATTTCTCCCTTAGAGGTATACTACAGATGATGGTTCTATTCTAGGACCTACGTCCAATAAATTGGTCTATTCAGACAGCTACTTTTGTGGTATATGCAGTTTTCATTGTAGAATTTGTGACTCTAAGCTCTCTAATTTTGGTCTGTGTAGCATTTATCTGTAGTTCATTGGTTAATAGGGTTGTAGATAATGGAAATTGAGAGAATCCCTGAAAATAAATTTGTTCTGTGTTTTAACTTGAAACCTCATTTCCTACGAGAGAGGAAAAACCACTGCCTAACTGATGAGGATGACCCTATTGAGTTCTTGAAGACATTGTTAGTTATTGTATTAATATATGAGGGTGGTAGCTTCTTGGTATTTTAATTTTGGCTCAAAATCTAAGAGACATGCAGAGAGAAATTATTTTCAAAATGTTAACTAGTTTAAGAAATTTTTAATATAGTCTGGGCATTATAGACCATGGAGTTTTTTTTTTATACTTTTTATTTCCATAATTTTAAAATGAGTTATATATCACATTATTAAAATACTAAAAGATATAAAAAGGAAAGTTGCAGTATCATGTTTATTAATATGCCTTTTGGTTCACAGAATAATGACTTATGCTGATTTTTAGTTCCAGAAAGCTGACTCTGATCTGGATTACATTCAGTACAGGCTGGAATATGAAATCAAGACTAATCATCCTGATTCAGCAGGCGAGGTAATCTGCAAAATCAGTGTATTCTTAACAGAATATTTTATCAAAAGATTTTCTGATGGTATTTCTAATAGTAGTGACTATAAAAATTACAGTACTGAGTACTGAATTCATAGGATCTTAAAATCTTTTCATGTTGAAATTTTGGTCACAGCATGTTATTATATCCATGGTCAAGGAAATTTGTGGCTATTTTATTTTTTAACCCTTGTACAAGAATTATTGAGTCAGGAGATATGAACCATTGTGGAAGCCTTTGACATTGTGAGAGAATATAGATACCTCTAGGACAATCTATCTATCTATAATATAGATAGATAGATTCTATATAAAAGCCTAAGCAACTGTTACAATAGAACACTGGAACAACCAGTCAACCAGTCACTATGATGCACACTGACCACCAAAGGGCAGATGCTCAACGCAGAAGCTGCCCCCTGGTGGTTAGTGTGCTCCCACAGCCAACCTCCCATGGCCAGACAACCTCCCCTGATCCCTCCCCCCTTGGGCAAACCTGTGGTCCCTCCCCCCATCTAGCAGGCCCTGTCCAGCAGGCCCCATCTGGCAGCCAGCGGCCCTGGCCGGCCCATTCCCAATTAGGACGAGGTGAGATGACACCAGTAGGCCCTGATCACCAGCCAGGCCTCGGGACCCCATCTGTGCATGAATTCTAGTCCTTAAATAAGAAGGGAGGTAATGATAGTCTATGAAAGAAGCTGATGATATACTGTTCATTTTATTATGTGAACTGTGATTTTTACATAAACATGTACTTAGTTTTTCTAAGTTTAGGTTGATTTAGAAATATTAACTCTGTTTATATGCCATAACTACTTTGTACACATGCCCATGGAGAAGAAAGCAAAGAGTTTTTAAGCATTGTTGTTAATATAAATTTATCGTTTGAATCATTAATGTTTATCTTCAATAGCATTTACCAGAAGTCAAGAAATATATTTTACAGCTTTTCAAAAAACGTTATACAATTAAAATGTTTTTTGATTGAGTGGAAGCACAACTTAAAGTGACATTTATACAGTTGGGAAAGCATTGTGATTATTTAGTTTTTACTGAACATTTTAGCTCCTTACTAGAACTGTTCTAGTTCCTTAACTGACTTAGTTGTCTCTCTCTTTTTTCTCTGACTAAATAAAGAACAACCAAACAATTCTGCTGCAGTACCAATTAGTGACTGGCCAAAGGACTCATCTGAGCCAGTGTCTTTGAAGTATATGTGGAAGGCATTTCATGTGGTACCCCCATTTCTCCTCCACTTTCCATCTCTTATTTTTGTGCTACTTCTGGTTTTCTCTTCTACAACTTATTTGCTATTTAATGTTGCTTTTTTGTGAGCTATTTCTATACATAGGCTTTATTTTTTAATTTATTTTTTTTACTATAGTTGACATTTCAGTATTATTTTATATTAGTTTCAAGTATATAGCATAGCGCTTAGAAAATTATATAATTTACGAAGTGATTCCCTCTGATAATTCTAGTACCCACCTGACACCATACGTGTTACAGTATTACACTACTAGTAGCCCTGTGCATGAATTTGTGTGCCAGTAGCTCGCCAGTAGCTTGCTGCCACCCTCCAGTAGCTCTCTGCCCCCTGCCCTGCCTTCTTATAGCTCCCTCCACTCCCCCTCATAGATTGCTGCCCTTCCCCCTTGCGTAGCTCTCCACTACGTGCTTGTAGCTCGCTGCCCCACCCTCCTGTTGATCCGTGATCCAGTCATTACAGGGTCGGTCATTACGCTTCATGGCATAATGACAATTTGTATATTACATCTTTATTATATAGGATTATTGACTATATTCCCTACCAGGCGTCCTCAAACTTTTTAAAGTGTGGGCCAGATCACGGTCCCTCAGAGAGCTGGAGGGCCGGACTATATGAACTACTAATTCCTACTGTAACCTTGGCTGTGCTCACTGCCCAAAAAACCTGGTGGGTCTGATCAGACTCCTCTGCGGGCCGCATGTGGCCCGCGGGCCATAGTTTGAAGAACCCTGCTATGCTGTACTTCTGCACCGAGGCTTTACATTTCTTGAGAATAGGATCTAGGTCTTACTTCTTTCTTCCCCTTTTCCATCCTTGTCACACAGTTGTATAATAAAATAGAGTATTTGATTAAATGGGTGGTAAAATGTGTTGGATAAATTTTAATTATTAAAAGAAGCTTAATTTTTTATTTCCATAATTTAATATATAATTTTTTTCCTGATATAGAAAAATCCAGTTACACTTTTACAGGAATTGTCAGCAATAAAGTCCCGATTTCAAACTTTGCATGAACGCTTTAAGCCAATTGCTGACGAGCAGAAAGAGACTAAGAGTCGCATTTGTGCTACATTCAATAAGACTATGACCGTGATACAAGAACTACAAAAGCAAACAGACCTGGAGGTAATGTTTCAATTGACATGTTGGATACTGTTCGCTAGTTTTCTCAGCATCTATGTTCTTCTTTCTTGCCTTACAGAATACCGATTTTCTTGAAATGTGTGCTATCCCTCACAGCCTCATGCTTGAGGTAAATAAAGCTGGCACTATCCTCAGCATCAGTGTGTGCCCGATTGGCAACGGGAATGTATTTTCCTTTAACTAAACTTAATTCGGGAATGGGTTTGTAACCCAACTGACGTGTGAAGAGGGAGTCAGGAAGTGGGAAATGAGGAAGTTTCCTCACTAATGAGAGAGCCTTGGCAAGAGAAAATTTTTCTTAAAAAAAAAAAAAAAAATACATATATATATATATATATATATATATATATATATTATTGATTTCAGAGAAGAAGGAAGAGGGACAGAGAGAGAGAAATGTTAATAATGAGAGAGCTGAAACCGGTTTGGCTCAGTGGATAGAGCATCAGCCTGTGAACTGAAAGATCCCAGGTTCCATTCCAGGCAAGGGCATGTACCTTGGTTGCGGGCACATCCCCAGTAGGGGGTATGCAAGAGGCAACTGATCAATGTTTCTCTCACATCAATGTTTCTAACTCTCTATCCCTCCCTCTTCCTCTCTGTAAAAAATCAATAAAATATATATTTAAAAAATAATAATAATGAGAGAGAATCACTGATCGGCTGCCTCCTGCATGCCCCTACTGGGGATAGAGCCTACAATCTGGGCATGTGCCCTTGACTGGAATCAAACCTGGGACCCTTCAGTCCACAAGATGTTGCTCTATCCACTGAGCCAAACCAGCCAGGGTGAAAACTTTTTTAAAAAATAAACATTTAAAGATAAAGCTACCATCAAGAATATCAGAACTGTGAGATGGGGAAAACTGAGTCCTTATCTAATGAATAGACCAGCCCTGAAGTCTGTCCTATTTCTGTATTTATTTTGCAGTAATAATGATTTGTATTATTTATTCATTTTGAAATGTGTTTCTTTTACTTGCAGCTAAAAGCATCCTAATTATCTTTCAAAATTTAGCCCAAGTTTCTACTTCTAAGGAAACTTCCAGATTATTTTTGTTTACTTTCTTGATCAAAATACTTTTACATGTAGCATTCAGACTTTTTGTTTCTGTCCAATTATAGTCCTTAAATTGTTTGATTTCTTGATCTTGTTTCTTAAACTTAAAAAAAAATTTAATATATTTTTATTGATTTCAGAGAGGAAGGGAGAGGGAGAGAGAGATAGAAACACCAATGATGAGAATCATTGATCAGCTGCTTCTTGCATGCCCCCTACTGGGTATTGAGCCTCCAATCCGGACATGTGTCCTTGACTGGAATTGAACCTGGTTTCTTTCAGTCGCAGGCTGAAGCTCTATCCACTGAGCCAAACCAGCTAGGGCTGTTTCTTTAACTTAATTGCAAGTTATTTGGAAACTCAAACATCAAAGTACTTTGTATATAGGTAGCTAAATAATATATTTTTTTCTCCTGCTTTCCGAAATTTGTATCATATAAATGGCATGAGCTTATGAAAACATTTATTGTTGTGATAAACAAGATAACTAGTCTGGTCCGGTATGGCTCAGTGATTGAGCATCGACCTATGAACAAAGAAGTTATGGTTCAATTCCCAGTCAGGGCACATGCCTGGGTTGGGTTGTGGGTTCGATTCCCAGTGGGGGACATACAGGAGGCAGCCGATCAATGATTCTTTCTCGTCATTGATGTTTCTATCTATCTCCCTCTCCCTTCCTCTCTGAAATAATATATATATATTAAAGAAGTTAATTAAATTAACAGTCTTCAAAGGTGTTTTTGTTAAAATTATAGTTGAAGCCTTTAAAGGTTTTTGAAAAAAAGTCTGTCATTTGTTTTCTAGCTGTCACCACTGACCGAAGAAGAGAAAACTGCAGTACAGCAATTAAAATCTCACATGCCAGATTTATGAAGAAATGGACTTGCAAAAGGGAACGCTGGTGGAGAAGAGATCAATTCCAGAGAGACTTAGGAAAATGTCTTGTTAGCATGTGGTAACGAGGGGTGGGGTATGCGAAAGAGAAGATTTGGCCTGGTTGACTGGACAGTGACGCCTTTCACAGAGGGAATATAAGGACGGATATGAATAAATTCAGTCAAAAGGATGGAATGGGAAAAGGATTTAAACACATGCACACTTAGTTTTGCAATTTCAGGCAAGAAAATCTTAACACTATTTTGCATCTGTTTTTGTATAATCAGGATAACAAAGATGTCCTATCATAAAAGAATGTTTATGCACTATCAGTCAAATGTGAATGAATGTGCATTGGAAATTAAAGATGGAAAAATATTTGTATTATACATTATATATATATGTATAGACTTTTCTGTTTTTGAAAATTTTAATTGAAGATGTGGTCACATTATCGGTGAGATTGCTAAGTGACCTATACTGTCCAATAAAGCCTAATCTTTGTAATAAGCTGGTTTTCCTGTGAAAGTCCCTTTTATTTTTGTCCTATTCCTTCTGCTTGGTAACGTTGAGCAACATGAGTTCTGCTTTCAAATGTTTTAGGTTCTCTTTATTGAATTTCTTTTAAAAAACATATTTAAAATCAATATTTTTATCATTTTGTTTTTTATTGAGCTAGTTTCTTGATAAAATGTAGTCCTTTGATTGCTTTAAAACATTTTTTCTGAAAAGAATAGAATATCTAGCAACTTTATATCTACTACAGGCCCATTGCACTTCATTCATGCACTGGGCAGTGGGAGGGGGCAGGAGCAGGTTTTCAGCCTGGCCTGCGCCCTTTCACAGTCCAGGAGCCCTTGGGGAATATCCAACTGACAGTTTAGGGTAGGGGTGTCGAACTCAATCAGAGAAGGGGCCAAAATCTAAAATCCAGCCTAAATCGAGGGCCAAATGGTTTACTGAACAGTCATAAACTGTCATTGTAATGGAAACGCAGCGGAGTGCAGTGATGACAGCGCGGTGTGGGCCACATTGCAAGGCCTGGCGGGACGGATTTGGCCCGCGGGCCTTGTGTTTGACACATGTGGTTTAGGGCCACTCACTAGTGGTCAGTCTGGCTTGTGGCTGAGCAGTGCTCCCTCTGGGGGAGCACACTGACCACCAGGGGACAGCTCCTGTGTTGAGCGTCTGCCCTCTTAGTGGTCAGTCAGGCGTCTTCAAACTATGGCCCGCGGGCCACATGCGGCCCGCAGAGGAGTCTGATCCAGCCCGCCAGGGTTTTTGGGCAGTGAGCACAGCCGAGGTGTTACAGTAGGAATTAGTAGTTCATATAGTCCGGCCCTCCAGCTCTCTGAGGGACCGTGATCTGGCCCCCACTTTAAAAAGTTTGAGGACCCCTGGTACATAGCCACTGGTCATTCCACTGTTCAGTCTATTTGCATATTACCCTTTTATTATGTAGTATAGTTGACATAATCTCTTCAGAAGCTCCTTCAGGATACTTTGGAGAAGTTGGGAAGGGGAGTCAACCTTTTCCATTTTAAAGGCTACTTGCATTCTTCCACAGCATAACATCTGATGATTTCCCTCTCGGCTCTGCTTTTGTTGTCACATCTCTTTCTGTGACTCTCCCCTGTTGTATTTCAGTATGACCTTTGTTCTCCTCCAGCCTATATTACTGTACTTTTGTTTTCTATATGAAAGCTAAGAAATTGAAATCAGAAGAGTACTGCCAACTGCTGCTTGCTAATTTTAGGTGTGTTTGTATTTCCCTATTTATCGATATTTTTAAATAACTTGACAATAATGCAATTGTCCAAAGTAGGGAAGATCTTGATATAAATGTTAATCACAGGGTTATTTACATTAGTAATACATACACATCTGGCTAATAGCAGGCAAATAGGAAAGTAAATCATGATGTATCTATCTATGCAATAGGAGGTCATAGTTGCCTATAAATTATTACTGTTAATGTTCAGGGAAATGCTGAATGGGGGAGTGGAAACAGATATTGCTGTTTTTGTTGTTAAAATGGGGCTTTGACATCATATCTGAGATGTAAATAGCAGGTTTTAATTTCCAGCTGTTTTATCCTGAGAAAATCACTTAACTTCTCTGTGCCTGCATGGTGGGAAGCACAATGAAATGTTGTTTGGTTTTGAAGGATAAATATTGAAGGATCTTTAGTAATCCTTCAGTAAATGATATTTCCATGTATGTAATAAAAAACGAGGCATTGAAAAAAGACTAGGAAAAATACATGAAATGTTAGGTCTGCAGGTTATAGAATTATACTTTAATACAATTTTAAGAATTTGCTATGAGCATGTATTTGTCCATTGGCCAGCGTACAATAACTGACAAACAGGGTTAGAAGAGTTACTCCAGTTAAAATTGTCCTGTCCAGTTTGAATATGTCAAGAACAGAAAGCCCCCTCCTTTAATTTACAGTTACATTTTAGTAACATATTCATTTTCTTCAATACTCAGGCAATTAATATTAATGAAGTTCCTGTACATAAATAATTTTTGACACATAAAGTTGTTGCCCACTAATTATAATAAAATCCAAATGCTTTAATAGTCAATAACTTTCTAGATTATTGTTGATTCTCTACACGTGTATTCTAGGTTGGGCTAAGTGTAATAGTTGTAACAAACTAGAAAGAAAAAATTAAATTCAAATCAAGAATTTGATGCACACTCCTTGTCTCACACCTTCAACTCCTGCAATATTTAAACTACTAGTGACCCGGTGCATGAATTTCATACACATTAAAAAGGGATTAATTAGAGGAAATAATTTATTATTGCTTCTTGCCCTTTCTTTATAATAGAAGTGCCAGAGTTGAAAGATTAGTAAAATGTATATAAAAACTTTCCTCCTGTCAGAGTCCGCGCCCACCCACATGCACCTCAAAATCACGTGAGACCCAGACCCAGCCAGCTCCCCACCCCCAATTGGGCTAGATCCAGACCCTGCCAGTCCCACCCTTGTCAAGCCCTGCTGGACAGGGCACGTAGCCTCAGGCGCCAGGATGGGGGCATGCTTTGAGGTCCTCCATCAAGCCCCGCCAGGTGGGGAACATGGCCTGACGTCCCCTGTCAAGCCCTGCCAGGCAGGGGTCGGGTATAGCCTCAAGTCCCCTGTCAAGCCCCACTGTGCGGCCTGAGTTCCCCCTCTCAGCAGGGGAGGGGTGTACCTTGAGGTCCCAGCTGATTGCTGGTTAAGCCTCTTTATGGGAACTTGGTCTCAGCTGTGGATGCAGCCATCTTTGTGATGGGAGTGATGCCAATTAGCATATTCCCTCTTTTCTAGATAGGATGATACAGAATTGTAGACAGCGGCCGCCAATCTAGGAAAGCTGAATACAGCTGATACCGTTTTGTACTTTGTACAGTCTCATGGCAACCTCGTACCTCAAGTGGCAAGAAATGCAGGTGTGGTGTGGATCTAATAATACTTCTACATAACCTGCAGTCCCGTTCTCCCAGCCCTGAAATGAGAAACCATATCGCTCTAGGCTTCACCGTCTGGAGCTTCGCTTCAAGGTGGAGCGGAAATCTTAAAAACCTGAGTCTCTCGGCTTCCTCCCAGAGGAAAAAAAAAAAATCACTAGCCAAGTAACCACTGCACCACGGTTTTTGCAAAGAGCGGGCCATACATCATGTGCAGCCAAAATCACACAGATTGTTGACAATGCGGATTTCGTGGGGCTCTTCCCTAGAATCAGAATACCTAGGGGTGTGGCTTTGCAGTTTGCGTTTTTGTTGTGTTTTTTTTTCCTCACTAGCATTCCAGGTGGCTCTGCGGGTTGGCGCGCGAGTTTTCAGAACGGCGAGCCCACGCCCCTTTCCCGCCGGCCGCATCCTGGAGTCGGAGGCGAGCTACCTCGCAGCCTGGAACCGCCAAATCTCGTGTGCGCCTCCGCACCGCGGGAACTAGGCGCCCGCCTCCCCGCTCCGCTCCTCTAGCGCGGCGTCCTGCGCGCATGCGCGCTGGCGCCCCTCTGCGCCGCCGCGCCTCCAGCTGCCCTGGTTACCGTGGGTGTTTGTGGATTCCCCGCAGAGCCTGCCGCGCCGGGGACCTGAGGCGCCGGGCTTTCGTAGCGGTTCGGCACGCGCGCGCCCGCCCGCGCCTCGCGGTCCCGGCTGGGCGGCTGAGCCGGGAGGGACCCGCGGCCGCTTCTCGCCCTCCCACTGCTCTCTCAGGGCGGGCACGCGGATAAGATGGCGAAGTGGGGGTAGCCGGCGCGGAGCCTGAGGCGATGGGGCGCGCCGGCGGGGCGGTCGTTGGAGCCTCCTGACGCGGGCGCGGGGTTGTGCTCCGCGGCAGTTTGAACTGGCGACCTCGGGCCGGCGCCCACTAGGTCAGACCACGGACTCCGCGGGTCGCTGTAGGCCCCGCCGAGAGTCGGAGGCGATGGATGAACAGAGTGTAGAGGTGAGGAGGCTGGAGGAGGTTGGTGGGTCGTCTCCCCAGGCGACCCGCTGAGTGTGTGTATGTGTTTTTTTGTGTTTTTTTTTAAAAATCGGGTCGCCTTTCCCTGGTCCTCCCGGTAGGGACTGCACTGCCGCCGCCGCGGGGAGGGCTGGCCAGGTGCGGGCACTGCAGCCTCCGGTGCCCGTGCTCTCACCGCTCCCGCAGTAGGGGGTGCGTGTCTGGGCGTTTTCGGGGTGTCTCTGCCGGGTACTCATCCATCCATCTGTCCATCCCCACAGGGTTTCTTTGTTGTTGTTGTTGTTCGTTTGTTTTTTGTTTGTTTGTTTTTTGCAAACTACGGCCTGTGCGGATTAAAACTGCAGATTCATTACAGGGACGTGCCCTGACACTCGCAAACCAGTTCTTGTGATTTCTGTGCGCATCCAAATCTCCCTCCGAACGGATCACCGTTCTTCCTAGCGGTGCAATTTTTTTTTTTTTTTTTTTGGTAGACTTCTGCCCTTCCTAGATTGAATGAGCATATATTCTTTAATTATCTTATTTGGATGTAGTTTGCCAGGACAACCTTATTCTTATGCTATCTGGCGCTTGTAAGCTCTGATGTAAAATTGTTGGGGTATTTGCTTAAAGGCTAGGGACATTTTAGAAAAAAAAGATTGGTTATTGAACGTAATTGTGTGGTAATTGTCAAGGACTCTATTAATTGTCGAAATACTAAAATACTGAACCCTTCATTTAAAAAAATTTTTTTTTAGTAAGGGCAGCGATGTTGCTGGGCTCTTGAAACAGGTAGTTCACCCAATGGTTTTATCGCCCCCACCTCCCTCCCCGCCAGCATCTGCACCGCACACGTTCTTTTGGTTTGCAGTCATGATTAGACTCGCACCTCTTGTCTGTTTCACACGTGAAAGTATTATAAAGGTTCGGTAACTTGACTTGGTTTTATGAGAGTTTAATTCTCTTGTCCTATAAACTTAAAATATATAATAACCTACATTTAATTATATCTGTTTTTCTTGTCAGTTACTTCCTAAATTGATTCATATGAGGCTTGTTGCAAAGATAATACCATTTCTTCTCATTTACGTGTTGTTGTTTTTTTTTCTTCCCAAAGCATTGGGAGAACTACTGCTAAAATTCTCAAGGGGTAGAATCTCAGGCTCACATAAGTAGCTACTTGGTTGCAGCATCAGGGCAGAAAGTCAGATTTCTGGATTCTGAATTAGTTTCTTTAAATAAATAAAAAAATTGTTTTTAATCCTCGCCTGAGGATGTTTTATTGATTTTTTAAAAAAATGTGTTTATTGATTTTAGAGGGGAAGGGAAAGGGAGACAGGGAGAAACATCATGTGAGAGAGGGATGTACATCCATTAGCTTCTTTCTGCTTGCCCTCTACTGGGGATCTAGCCCACAACTGGGCATGTGCCCTGACGGTGAATCAAACTCAAGACCCTTTGGTGCATTGGAGGAAGCTCAACCAACTGAGCCTCACCGGCCAGGGCTTTAGTGATTGTTCTTCCACTTATTCATACATCCATTGGTTGATTCTTGTAAGTCCCCTCACCAGACTGAACCCACAGTCTTGGCCAATCAGGATGACACTCCAACCAACTGAGCTACTCATTCAGGGCATTGATCAAGTGCACTGCTTTTAAGATATGTATCTCTTAAAAACTTATCAAAGCATTTCATCCCCCTTGGAAAATTGCAGAGAAAGTAAAAAGTTCATGTTTCTTTAATCATGTAGTTTGCCCTTTTTTTTTCTCTTACTGTTAAACATAAGTATATTTCCTGTTTCATTAAATAATCGAAGAAATATTTGTAGTGACTGTATTGTATGTTAACTGTGATAATATTTGGATATTTGGGCCAGCCAGATTCTTGCCATTATAATTAATCGTACTTTTTACTCTTGATTCAGTAGCCTAACCTGGTGGGTCTTTCCATCTTTTATTATTTTCAGAGCATTGCTGAGGTTTTTCGATGTTTCATCTGTATGGAGAAATTGCGGGATGCACGCCTGTGTCCTCATTGCTCTAAGCTTTGTTGTTTCAGCTGTATCAGGGTAAGCTGTATTTTTCTTTCCACATGCATTTTACCATATGTAAGATATATTGGTAAATGGTAAAAATTAACCATTTTATTTTTCTTATTTTAGATTTTGTGTCCTTTTTAAAAATGTCTTTAATGATGGTCCTTGATAGAGAGATCATCAGTGTATATTGCTTAGTACTGTGGAGATGAATAATCATCAAATGATAACTGCCATGAAATGTCTGGAAGCCAAAACCCACTATAATTCTAATATATTTACATTATTAAATCATTGCACACTTAACAAGTACTTACAAAGGGCTGGCCTACATTGTGTTTGAGGTAGAGGGATATGAAGATAAATGACAAAGTGCCTGCCCTGAAGGAACTTAAGTCTAATAAAGAGAATGGATTTTGTGTTTTTATTGAAAAATGTATACCATCATAAAAAACACTAACAAAATGCTGTGATACCCAGAGGAGGGAGAGTTCATACTTGTTTGGCTATGTTTTCAGGCTAGGTCTCCTGCAATTATCTAGCTACACTTAGTTGATTCTCTCTTACTACCTTTTTTTTTGTGTGTGTGTGTTTTATTTTTATTTTTTATTTTCTGCTCCCTTTTCTTGTCCCCCTAATTCTGTGTGTGTGTGTGTGTGTTTTAATCCCTTAATTTTCAGCATATATAGCACTTTGTTTACAATTATTGACTGTTTTGTCTTAAATTTTGCAGACTTTTTAAATTAGGTATAATTTATGTACAGTAAACTACACATTTAAAGTATATGGTTTGATAAATTTTGGCAAATGTATATACCTCAGAAACCATCACAATGGTCAAGGTAATGAAAATATATGCAAACCCCCCCCCTCCCCCATTTCTTTGTATTTCTGGGTAATGTCTCCTTCTGCTTATCTAGTTCCCAGGCAACCACTGATCTGCTTTCTGCCACTATAGATATGTGTGGATTTTCTGGAATTGTATACAAATGGACTCTTACAATATGTACTCTTATGTATCTGTTTTTTTATTCATCAGAATTATTTTGATATTTAACTGTCAGGTGTATAAATAGTGTTGGCTGTGCAGTGATAGCATTGCATTGTATGCATATGCCATAATTTGTTTATCCATTCACCTGTTTTATTGTTTTTAATGAGGTATAATTGACATTTAAAACATTATATTAGTTTCAGATGTGCAACATATTTCTACATTCAACATTTGTATAATATATATTTGTAAAAATAATGACTACACTAACTCCAGTTAACATCCACCACTATACATAGTTACAAAAAATTTTTTTCTTAAGATGAGGGCTTTTAAGATCTATTCTCTTAGCAATTTACAAATATGTGGCACATATTATTAACCATACTATTAGCCATAGTTATGGTTATATGTTAATAATAACATTATTAACATACTATACACATTCACTTGTTGATAGATACATGGTTATTTCTATTGATAGTTTTTGGCATTTACATAGAGCTATGAGCTATATACAAGTCTTTGAATGGACTTCAGTTTTTATTTCTCTTGGGTAAATAGGAATGGAGTGTCTAGATCATATGGTAGATGTTTAACATATTGTCAGACTGTCTCCTAACAAATTGTCAGACTGTATCATTTTATGTTCTCACTGGTATGTATGAGAGTGCTAATTCCATGTTAATGCCAAAACTTGGTTTGTTCAGTCTTGAATTTTAGTAATGGTACCTCCGCTTTCCCCTCAAGATCAAGAAAAAGACAAGGTTGCCTACTTTCATTATTTCTATCATTACTCTTCTCCCAACCCTTGGTAACCACCATTCTTCATGTTTCTACAAATTTGACTAGTTGAGTACCTCATATAAACCCAATTATACAATATTTTTCTTTTAGTACTTATTTATGGGCTCTTTATTGGTCTCTCTTTCAGTATTCATGCCAGTAGAAACCTGTTTTTATTACTATAGCTTTGTAGTAAATTGAAATCAGGAAATTCAAGATAGTTTTGGATATTTAGGGTTCCTTGTGATTTTTTTTAATTTTAGATGGGATTTTTCTAGTTCTGTAAAATGCACCATTGGGATTTTGATAGGAATTGCATTGATTCTGTAGATTGCTTTTGGGAGTATTACCATCTTAATATGTTTTTTAATCCATGAATATGGGATGTGTTTCCATTTATTTAGGACTTTCTTTAATTTCTTTCAGCAAAATTTTGTAGTTTTCCACAAAAATCTTTCAATTCCTTGGTTAAATTTAATGCTAGATATTTTACTCTCTATGATACTACTATAAATATATTATTTTCTTAATTTTCTCCTTGGAGTCTTCTTTGCTAGTGTATTGAAATGTGTTTTTTATGCGTTGATTTTTGTCTCCTGCAACTTTGGTGAATTTATTAGCTTTAACTTAAGTTACTTGTGAAATCTAGGGTTGTCTACATATCTGATCATGTTTCTTCATAAACATAATATTACTTCTTTCCCATTTTGGATGCTTTTTGTTTCTTCCTTAATTGCTCTGGCTGAAATGTTCAGTATTATGTTGAATATAAGTGCTAAAAGCAGGCATCCTTGTCTTTTCCCTGTTCTTAATAGAAAAGTTTTCCATCTTTAACGATTGAATATGATGTTTGCTGTGGGTTTTTTAAATGGATTTTAGCCCTAGCATGAGTGGAAAGGGCCTGTGGATATGTCCTTGCAGTCTCTGGCCTGAGGCAACCAATCAATGTGTCTCTCTCACATTGATATTTCCCTCTTGCTGTCTCTTCCCTTACCTTTCACTCTCTCTAAAAATCGGTGAAAAAATATCCTCAGGTGAGGATTAATAATCACAATAAGATAAGGACTTTATCAGTTGAGAAAGTTCTCTCCTATTCCTATTTTTTGAGTGTTTTTATCCTGAAAGGATATTGGATTTAGTCAGATGTTCAGATGTCTTTTTTCCTTCGATTTATTAATGTGATATATTACACTGAATGATATTTGTATGTTGAAACTTTCCTTGCATTCCAGGGATAAATCACTTGGTCACAGCATATAATCAAGAAAACTTGAGCTCAGTCACTTGTCTATTTCATGTGGTTAATAAGGGCTAGAGCTAGGAATCAGACTGTCTAAAGCTTGTGGTTCTCTTTAATGAGGGAGAGAAATCAGTTCTTCAATTGCATGTGAAGGAATTATTATAAAGATGTTGCTTTAATATTTCTTGTGTGTTAATATTGTTCACTGGTTTTACCTTGAGTTTTTGGTTTGGAAGAAACATTGTTTCCCCCAAAGTATGATAATTGCCGAATTTATTTTGTAATTAAGTTAGATTGTGTAATATATACAAGGTAAAAATGCTACATATCTATAGAGAAGGGAAAGGCCACTAGATTGGGATAGGTAGGGTAAGTTTTATGGTTATAATCAATGGGTATTCCCATGTGAGAGCGCAGAGAGAGGGGACTGTATAAGTGAATGGACAGTCCTAATGTTAAGAGTGGTATATATTGCAACAATAGCCCTTTTGGATGGGAGAAGTATATTAAAAACATAAATTGGTCTCAATCTTTGAAGAGCTTATTGTGAAGCAGGGGAGGAGAGACTATAACCACAATGAAGGGGGAAGTATAGGTTGCTGTGGAAGAGCATGGCAGTGGTACCTAAAATAGTCTGTAGAGCAAGCATGTTAAACTCTCGGCCCACGGGCCACATGTGGCCCACAATGAATATTTTCGTGGCCCAGCCAATATAATGGTATCTAAGAAACATTTTAATGAATGTTTTGTAACTTAATTTTTACAATATCCTGTTATACATAATTATAAATAATGAACTACAAGGTTCGCTAATGATTGATTATTATAATCGTGTTGCATTATTTCCCTTACATGCCTGATGTGCAGGTGCACCATTTCTCTCCAATAATACTAGAAGCGAATATATATTTTTTAAATATAATTTTTTATTGATTTTTTTTTTTTTTACAGAGAGGAAGGGAGAAGGATAGAGAGTTAGAAACATCAATGAGAGAGAAACATCAATCAGCTGCCTCCTGCACACCTCCTGGGGATGTGCCCACAACCAAGGCACATGCCCTTGACTGGAATTGAACCTGGGATCTTTCAGAAGGCAGGCTGATGGTCTATCCATTGAGCAAAACCAGTTACTAGGTTTAGCAGCAAATATTTTAGCAGCCAATTGCTACATCATTAGTCTTGCACTGACTTGTTTGGTGTGTGCAACGGGAAATATTTCACTTTCAGAGAACAAGAAAACTATGTTTATTTGCATTATGCTTATTTATTTGTGCAGTTATTTGGTGTCTGGTAAGTTAATGTTCGAGAAAAAATACTAATTTTTATTAAAATGTTTTATTTTATGTTAATGATTACTCATTTCAGCCCTTTGTATTCAGCATGTCTCTAAAAACAAACAAACACCTGTTTCTATGAAAATTGAAGCTTTTGTTTTTTTTAGCCCACATAAACCTAAACCTTGTCTATTTGGCTCGTGTTAGCCTTTGAGTTTGACATGCTTGCTGTAGAGAGTCAGGGAAAGCTTTCTGAAGGAAGTGGTTTATAAACTGAAATCTAAAGGATGAGTAGGAATAAACCATTTGAAGGATATCTACAAATATCCTGGGCAGAAAGATACCAAATATATTTAAAGGTTTAACCTTGCTGGGTCCCTTAGGTTGAGGTAAAGGACAAGGCTAGGGAGGTGTGGGCTGAAAGCAGCCTAGGAGAGGTACTATGACTTTAGTAAAGTTTTTTCAGGGAAAGAAACTTGACCCAAATTTTGTCTTTACCAAGGGACTGAAGAAATAATTTTCAAGGTTATTAAGAGTGCAGGAATCCTCTTCCATGTATTTTCTTCAAGCTTTATTTATTTAGTAGAGGCCCAGTGCATAAATTTGTGCATGGGTGGAGTCTGACCAGCCCACCCTGATCAGGGCCGATTGGGATGGGCCAGCAGGGGGGAGGGGACAAGGGAGGTTGGCTGACCAGCCCCACCCCAGATCCTGGGGAGGGGTCACAGGCAGTTGGCCAGCTGGCCCATCCCTGATCAGGGTGGGGGAGCCGGTTGGGGGCAGGGCCAGCAGAGGGTAGGGGCTGCAAGTGGTTAGCCGGCTGGCCCTGCCCTTGGTCCAACTCTCAGTTGAACTGGTTGAGGGGACAATTTGCATATTAGCCTTTTATTATATAGGATTTTGCTGTGAGGTACCTTTTCCCCGTTTTATTTTTATTGTCCTTTAAGGTTTCCTTGGGAATTTTATTTCTGAGTTAATAATTGACTTTTAAGTAAAAGCTTATGTTTTTTATAAAAGAACATAGGGATAAACAGAAATATCAGATACTGAAATACATTCATTTACTTATGAACCAATTTACCAGACTATTAAAACAAAAATATTTACCATAAATATTGTTTTTTTTGGAAAGGCAATCAGAAAATCTTAGCATCCCTTTTGTATATGGTGTGATACTGCTCCCTACTCAGTAATAATTACAGTGGTTAAATGAATATAATTTGAGGTTTAGTGGAGACATCTTGTAATTAAAAGGATTTGTAAAACTTTTTTATAATTATGAGAAAGCAAAGTTATGTAGAAGTTTAAAAGTTATTGAACTGTGAAACTCAAGACACAAAATGGTTTTGCTATAGCTTATTCATATTTTAGGTCTAATTTATATCTGTAATGTATGTGCTTCAAAATTAATTTGCTTTTCTAAAAAAGAATGTATTAGCAACTTAAACTTCCTTGAGGATTTTATGGTATGTTAGTTAGTTAAACTCCTTGCAGATTCTAGGGTGGGTTATTTAGAAGTAAAACCCTGTGGTTTATATTTAGAGTTGGTAGTGATTGTCTGCGATCCAAATAATCCTAGCATCACTTTCTTTCCTATGAGAGAATAGCTTCTTAACTATTGGGATGAGTTGTGTCCCTTTGAATGTTTGTCCTGGTCAATAGATAATGAGAGGAGGATAGTAGATTGTCTACTATTTCTATAAGTATCTTTATAATTAATGCAGGCACTAGAGAGTTAAACTTATTAAATTTGGTGTATAAGTATTCAATCTGTACAAATTAAAGTAATGGTGTTTCTACAATCAAAAGCTAATTTCTTTTTCTACCTCCTTAGCGCTGGTTGACAGAGCAGAGAGCTCAATGTCCTCATTGCCGGTAAGTGTTTTCCTATGATTATTTGTGTATTTGGAAAAAAAAAAAGGTGATTGAGTGTGACCTAATATTAATAAAGTTCTTTCTGTAATCTTCATTTCTTCTCTTTGTGAATACAGCTGAAAATAAATTAATCTCTCTAGTATAGCAATAAAGTAATTTATTTTAGAATTATGTAGAATGCATTAAATTGTTTACCTTATTTTAGGAAAACATGTTTAACTTAAAATTAAAAAGGTTTCTGGTTTTAAAAAATCTTAATAGTATAGGTAAATATTTTTTTAAAGTCTTCTGATTCTGTTACTCTTCATCTAGTCTTGCCATGAAATAACACTTTCAGGTGAAGTTGTTGGAGTTGTATCTAGTTTTCTAAACTTTTTCCATCTATGTACTGATATCTATATATAAAAGGATAAAAGGCAAATTGTCTCTGTGGGAGTTCAACGGAGAGACTGGGAGTTTGATCGCTCACTATGATGTGCACTGACCTCCAGGGGGCAGAATGAAGGAAGGCCCCAGCCTGCAGCCGGAAAGCCCCAATTGGCCCTAATCGCTGGTCATGGACCCTACCTGTGCATGAATTTCGTGCACCAGGCCTCTAGTGTGTATATATGATTGTTTTCTTACAACACAAATAATATAGTACTGTTGTTTTTTAATATGAAATATAGTGGTACCTTTCTTTATGTGCACATGTCATTTAAATTTTAAAATGTTTGATTTATCTATTATGTGTCCATATATTATTTACTTATGCTTATATTGAGATATGTTTAGATTGTTTCCACTTTTGGTAATTTCAAATGATGCTAGATTGTGCTGAAAGATAGGTTTTTACCATTTTTCATTCCTAATAAAAGATACAAAAGTGCCTTTCCCCACATTCCTGCCACTATTGTATATTACCAATCTATCTATCTATTTTTTTTTTTGTCCTTTTGCTAGATGAAAATTGTATCTTTTTTAAAAACTATATATATTTTAAATTGATTTCAAAGAGGAAGGGAGAGGAAGAGAGAGATAGAAACATCAATGATGAGAATAATTGATTGGCTACCTCCTGTACACCCCCTACTGGGGATCGAGCCCACAACATGGGCTTGTGCACTCACTGGGAATCAAACCATGATTCCCTAGTTCAGTGTTTCCCAAAGTGTGGTATGCGTACCCCCAGGGGTACAGGAAGAGTTTGGTGGGGGTACGCGTTGCACCGGAGTTTGGTGGGGATATGCACTGCACCGTGCTTAGCTACGCCTAATTCTCCGTTTTCATGAGTACGAGGGGTACTCGGCATTATGAAAATTATAGAAGGGGTACACATATGTCAAAAGTTTGGGAAACACTGCCCTAGTTCATAGGTTGACATTCAGTCACTGAGCCACGCCAATTTGGCTAGAATGTGTTTGTCTTAGAAAATTAACTCAAATTCCTGAATTAAAAATATATATCTTCTCTCTAGTGCTCCACTCCAAATACGAGAACTAGTAAACTGTCGTTGGGCAGAAGAAGTAACACAGCAGCTTGATACTCTTCAACTCTGTAGTCTCACCAAACATGAAGAAAATGAAAAGGACAAGTATGTCCTCAATTTCTTTAAGTATTTCATATATTTTGGTACATGTTATTTTAATGAAACGATTGAAAGGGGTTTTTTGTGTCTTTTTTTTTTAGTTTTGTAAGTAAATACAGTTTTCTTTTGATGTGGTGTGGGTATCAGTATTTGGAAAGATCTTTCTAACTCTTAATTGGCTTCTTTTATCAGAGGCTTTCATAAAAGGAGTGGAACTGCCACAGTTGCTGATGTGATAGCAATCTCTCTTATTTGCCTCTTGATGCCTACTGGCTACCCTAGGGTTTGCTGAAGATGCTTATAGGTCATTGATTAAAAATAGATCTGACAAATTCCCTATATTTTAAAGGATGTATCCTAAATCTGGTATGTGGAAATCATGCTAAATTAGCTTCCAGACCAGGCCGGCAGGGGAGGCAGTTAGGCATCTTATCAGGCTGGCAGGGAATGGTTGGGGTAATTAGGCTGGTAGGCAAAAGCAGTTAGGGGAAGTCAGGCAGGCAGTCAGGTGAGCAGTTGGGAGCCAGCAGTCCTGGATTGTGAGAGGGACCCCAGATTAGAGAGGGTGCAGTCTGGGCTGAGGGACACTGGACCCCCACGCCGCACATGAATTTTGTGCACCGGGCCTTTAGTATTATATGTGAGAATATAAAATGTAGACCTATTTAGGTATTAAGCTCGATGAACAGAACAAATGCAACACTGTCTCTTTTAAAGGCAAGAGAAAAACTTTTTTTTTATATATTGGGTCGGCAACTAAGTAATTGCGTATTTTTTAAAGAAAATCAGACAATTTTTTCATGGAACTAAATAACTTTATTCTGTAATGTATTGCCCATTTTGATCAATGACCTTTTGCCATCTTTCATGCAGCATCATAATCCCACGTTCAAAAAACTTCTGGTTTTTATTATCAAAAAACTGAATCAGGTACGATTTGACATCATCATCATTATTGAAATTTTTACCATTCAAGGAGTTTTGTAAAGATCGAAACAAAAAGTAATCAGATGGTGCAAGGTCAGGACTATATGGTGGATGTGGCAAAACATCCCAACCAAGCTCCATTAATTTTTGCCGAGTGACCAAAGATGTGGGTGGCCTTGCATTGTCATGATGGAATACAACACCTTTTCGATTTGTCAATTCGGGCCGCTTTTCTTCAACTGCATTGTTTAATTTCATTAGTTGTTCAATGTAGACATCAGAATTGATCGTTCGGTTGGGTGGTAAGAGTTCAAAGTAGACAATTCCTTTGTAATCCCACCAAACTGATAACAAAACCTTCTTTTGATGAATATCAGCTTTTGATGTTGTTTGAGTTGGTTCACCTGGCCTGCTCCACGATCTTTTCCACTTGATATTGTTGTAAACAACCCATTTTTCATGGCCAGTTATCAGTCGTTTTAAAAATGGATCATTTTCATTACATTTCTTTAGCAAATCGCAGCTGCTAATGCGTTGCGTTAACTGTGGTTCTTTCAGTTCGTGAGAAACCCATGTATCGAGTTTTTGAACATAGCCAAGTTGTTTTAAGTGATTTTCAATGCATGTATGTGATACATGAAGCTTCTCTGCAATCTCACGTGTTGTACTGTGACAGTCCGAATTGATTATTGCTTTGATTAGGGCGTCATCAACTTCAACTGGACGACCAGAGCGTTTTTCACCTTTGAGTGAAAAATCACCAGAACGAAATTTGGCAAACCAATTTTGACACTGCCGTTCTTTTAAGGCTTCATCACCATAAACAGCACATAACTTTTTATGAGCTTGCGATGCGTTTTTCCCTTTGCGAAAATAAAAAAGCAAAATATGACGAAAATGTTCCTTTTGATTTTCCATTTTTCAACGAACGCCAAACGAAAACTACAAAACAGATCAAAAAACTTTTTTACTGATTAACAGCTGAATAGCCAATTATCAAATAACAAAATGTGTTTTACATTTGTACTACGTCTGCAAACCTAAAAATTCAACTGAAGCCATATATGTGTGAAACCCGCAATTACTTAGCTGCCGACCCAATAGATATATTTTTTATTTCAGAGAGGAAGGGAGAGGGAGAGATAGAAACATCAATGATGATAGAGAATTACTGATCACCTGCCTCCCACACACCCCCTACTGGGAATCAAGCCAGCAACCTGGGCATGTGCCCTGACCAGGAATCGAACCATGACCTCCTTGTTTATAGATGGATGCTCAACCACTGAGCCATGCTGGTCAGGTGGCAAGAGAAAACTTAAAAAAAAAAATTTATTGTGGTAAAATATACATAGCATTATTACTATCAACCATTTTTAAGTGTACAATTCAGTTGTGTTAAGTATGTTCACATTGTCACACAATTAATCTCCACTAGGGCTGCCATAATAGAATAGCATAGATTGGGTGCCTTAAACAGTATTGGAGGCTGGAAGTTCAGGGTCAGGGTATTGTTTGCTTTCTGGTGAGACCTCTCTCCTTGACTTGGATATGGCTTTCCCTCTCTGTTCTTATGTGGCCTTTTCTCTGTTTATATAAACTTCTGGCATCTTTCTTGTCAGGACAACAGTCCTATCGGATTAGGCCTCTGCTCTTATGACCTTATTTAATATCCTTACTGTCTTTGTTTCCAAGTATAGTTACCTTAGGGCTTTCTACATAGGAATTTGGGATGGGGCAAATGCAATTCAATTAACCATGTGCATCTTCATTCCTTTGCATGTTGATCTCCAACTTAAGGGAAAATGTTATATTTTATTTTTAAAATTATTTTTTTTCTTGATTTCAGAGAGGAAGGGAGAGAGAGGGAAAGAAACATGATGAGGGAAAATCGTTGATTGGCTTCCTCCTGCATGTCCCCCACTGGGGATCAAGGCCACAATGTGTCCTCACTGGGAATCAAGCCATGACCTCCTGGTTCATAGGTCGGTGCTCAACCACTGCACAACACTGGATGGGCTATTTTATTTTTTAAAATATGGAATGCTTCATGAATTTGTGTGTCATCCTTGTGCAAGAGCCATGCTAATCTCTTTTGTATTCTAATTTTAGTGTATGTGCTGCCAAAGTGAACATGGGAAAACTTTTTAAAATTGAGTTAGTTTTTCAGAAGGATCTGGTATTACTTTGTGCAGTTAATCACATGTCTTATTGTTAGCATTGACCACATGTAGAAAAAGTGTATGTGCATGAATACATGTTCATGTAGATACAAATACCGTACATAATCTGATTTGTCCAAAAATGTAGTAGCAGGCTAAAATTTATCATCTGTAGCAGTGGTTTTCAGTTAGTGTGTCACAAGAATTTTTAAAATGTGCAGTATCTGACTAGTCAGGGGCCCTGACCTTTTTCCCTTACATTGTCAAATAAAAAAATGACAACAGCTAATGTACTAGTAACAATAACTGTTCAGTGTGACTGAATCAAAGTTATACCTATTTTTTCTGTCAGATCACCAAAAAACTTATTTTTTGGTGTGCTGCAGAATTTTAGTAGTTTGTGTATCATGAGATGAAAAGGGTTGAAAATTTCTAATCTATAGTAATATTAGGAAATGATGTTATATTTGTACTTTATTCAAAAACTAGTCTGCATTTTTCATGTGATTTTAAGTTCTTATAGATTAATGAAAACACTGTTTTAAGAAAATTGTGTTCCAATGTAATTCTTTAGCTTACTTTGCAAAAGAAACTATGGAATACATTTTATATTGTTTCCTCAGATATAATTGTTTAAAATTGACCAACCTGTTTACTCAAACTTAGGAATTTGTTGAGGTATTTATTTTCCAATTTTAGTTTAATTTATAACTGTATTTTCTTTTCATGATATATAGATGTGAAAATCATCATGAAAAACTTAGTGTATTTTGCTGGACTTGTAAGAAATGTATCTGCCATCAATGTGCACTTTGGGGAGGAATGGTGAGCAGAACAAATTATTTTTACTTAGAGACTAGAAAGCACTGAAATACTTGTTTTAGTTAAAAAATAATATTTTACTTTGTTTATAGAATGAAAATTAAATTATTTTTCTTTACAGCAGAAGGTATCATTCCTTCTGTTATTCCAGAAAAACTGCATTTGTGGGAGATTTTGATGTGGGATATATACCTCCTACATAAATATTTTTTTTAAATTATAAAATGTATATATTCATCTGTAGATCTTTAGTTGTTTTTTTAACTTTTTAAAAAATTTTTATTTTTTCCAGTCTAATTCAGTGTAGTTTTTTAGTTATCTACCTTTATCAAGTCTAAAACATTCAAGTTCTTCTAGAAATAGCTTTTTATTTTATATTTGTGTCCTTTTTTTAAATTAATATTGAATTATATATTTACAGTCCTATATAATAAAGACATAATATGCAAATTAACCCTCATGCCTTCACAAGGTGGCTGCCTACAACCAGGCCGGCAGGGGCGTTAGTGAGGGATGACCAAACTACTGAACAGGCTGTATGGGGCAACCAGGCTGGTGGGGGGGTGGGACAGTTTGTGTCAAATAGGCTGGTAGGGCAGGCAGTTGGGGGCTACCACGCAGTTACGGGGTCAGTTAGGGGTGATCAGGCCAACACTCAGAGGCAGTGAGGTGTGATCAGTCTGGCAGGGGAGGTAGTTAGGGGCAACCAGGTAGGCAGGCAGGTGAGTGATTAGGAGCCAGCAGTACAGGATTGTGAGAGGGATGTCCGACTACCCCGCACCCCCCTGTGCACAAATTTTGTGCACCGGGCCTCTAGTAATAAGTACAATAGGCATAAATAGTTTGAAAATAAACAGTAGATTCTTGGTGGGGACAGTTAGTCATAGTGGGAGCAGACATCTAGAGGTGTCTGTTAGCAATGAGAATCATTCTTAAGTCATTAGTTTGCACATTTTTGGGAAAGAATGCCAGGCAAATTGGTTAAGTAGAACTCAATTGAGATATTTCTGTTGGTATTTGTTTTGTTTTAATGTATTTTTATTGATTTCAGAGAGAGAGAGAGAGAGAGAAATAGAGAGAGATCAATGATGAGAGAGAATCATTGGTTGGCTACCTCCTGCATGCTCCCTACTACAACCTGAGCATGTGCCCTTGACCAGAATTGAACCTGGGGCCCTTCAGTCCACAGGTAGATGCTCTATCCACTAAGCCAACCCAGCTAGAGCTTTTCTGTTGGTATTTGAATACTCCTGTGCCAACTAGAAAAAATTTATGTCCCACAACTTAATACTTTAAATAATTTTTTTTGTAAGAAACAATGAAAACAGTATTTTTCATAATTTAAGTGGACATGCAAAAATCCATGTTATTTTTTCCTTAGAGACCATGGCTGAGTGCTTTGGTCTCTGAGACAGTTCTCTCTTCTTTCTTTTTAAAAATATGTTTTTATTGATTTTAAAGAGAGAGGAAGGAGGAGAGAGATAGAAACATCGATAAGACAGAAACATATCTAGATCAGCTGTCTCCTGCATGCCCTCTACTTTGGATCGAGCCATCCATCTGGGCATGTACCTTGACTGGGAATCGAACCAGTGGCTTCTTGGTGCATGGCCTGAGGCTCAACCAGTTGAGCCATATGTGCTAGGAAAATAAGAATTCTAATAAGAACTTTTCTGTTACAGAAAATTCCTTATAAAGAAATTTAAGTTCTACTTACCAATCCAGAGATTGTGATAAATTATAATACCTAAATTGGATAGGAAATTGATTTTAGGCTGTTAGCTTTAAAAATTTGTTCTTTGAATACAACTGGATTTGTAAGGCTAAATTGCATGGGCCTTCTGTCTCTGCAGTAACTCTTTGTGGCCTGAAGAATGGGTTTATTGCTTTTGCTAATAGTGTGCCATGGATCTTTTCCTCAAATGTCTTTCTAATTTATTCAGTTATGTTAGAGAGTGGGTATTCAGTGATTAACAAGATAGATATAAAATAACTAGTTATGTACTCAATTGTTGTAATAGATATTATTATAGGAATAAGTATACAGTCTGATGAGAATGGGTAACTGGGACCTGATCCTCTCATCCTGAACTAATCCAAAGCATAAGTAGGAGTTAAAAGGTGAAGAGTTTGGGAGGGAAGATGAAGGATAATTATTTTTTAATAAGTAGGAGTTACTTTTGCAAAGGCCTCATGAGAGGACAGAAGGGTAGTGCTGATCAAGAGAAGAGTGACAAATGAGGTTGTGTCAGCGGCTTTGAGCCATAATTAAGGATCTTGATTCTTTCTAATGAGTGAAGATTTCTACATCAGTGTAAACATTTTGCTTAAGATCTTTATCCACAATTGAATTTTTTACATGGGCCAAGTGACTTTAAGCAAGCTGTGACTTATTTTAACAAAGTAAAGGCAGCCTAAAAAAATAAAATTCGTTTGGAAATATTTGCCAGTATATTAGTGTTCATAGTGTGTTAATAAAGGAATGTAAATACAGATGAGACATATGAAAATGTTTTAAAAGTTATTTTATTAATTTAAATAGCACGGCGGACATACTTTTAAACCTTTGGCGGAAATTTATGAGCAGCATGTTACAAAAGTGAACGAAGAGGTAGCTAAACTTCGTCGGCGTCTCATGGAACTCATCAGCCTAGTTCAAGAAGTGGTAAGACTAAAAGCTCATTATCCTTTTTATTGTCTATACTATGTAATATATATATTTATAATATAAATCATGTTGAAATTAAGGTTTAAAATAATTTTATACATATATATTTTTAAATATTTTTTTTGTTGATTTCAGAGAGAAAGTGAGAGGAAGAGAGGTAGAGAAACATCAATGATGAGAGAAAGTCATTGATCAGCTGCCTCCTTCCTGCATACATGACACAGAGGATCAAGTCTGTAACCTGGGCATGTACCCTGACTGGAATTGAATCATAAACTACTAGGTCATAGGTCAATGTTCAGCCACTGAGCCATGCCAGCTGGGCAAAATTTGAAAATTTGATATATTTATAGTGAAGTCTCACCAACTTCACACTAGCCAAAGAATTAAGGTCTAAATCCCTGGTCTGTTCTGTAGTTGGAGCCAGAGAATTATCTCTTATGCAGAAATAGAGAATCAGTGAGTTAATAAATAAGCCTGTTTTGTTATATACTCAATATTGACTTTTAGAAAGTTATTAAATTATTCATTCTTTGGAACCTCAGCTTTTGGGGTTTCTGCTACGAAGGAATGAATTATTTCTGATATCCTGAATTAGAACTTTGCAGAATTAAAAGCATAATATTTAACAATATTCTTTAGATGCTATATGGGTCAAACATTTTGGTGAGCTATTTACCATTTATAATATTTCTATTGAAAAATTCATTAAGCTTCAGACATTTAAATACTATATATACTTTTGGCATATATTTTGTTTAAAGTTACCAGATCCTAACTTAAGATGTCATCTTTATCCCCCTTCAGGAATAAAGTTTCAGATCATTATAATTTTTTTTATACAGAAAGAAATATTTTTGAATTGTATGTATGCTATCTACAAAATCATTTGACCTTTACCCTTTTTTTTTTTTCCCTATTTTTCTCTTGGCAATATTATAATGTCATTAGAAAGAATATTCTAGGTTGAGATTTTTACTGTTTATCTTTATAATAATAGTAAGTATAGGAAATGCTGTTTCTGTTAAAAATCTATATGTACTCCACAATCTTTGAAAATCCATTTTTTTCTTCTAAAAAAAAGAAAAACTTTGTAGATGTGGTTTTAAAATTTTTAAAATTATTTTAGGGTTTTGCACTATGTGAAATGGCTTTAGTAAACTTTTGGTTTGAAATGATTTTTTTATCAGAGATATAATTGGGGCTTTGAGTATGTGTTCTGTATGTTACCTAAACCAATTTTTGTAATTACATACCTAGTCTATACCGCCATACCACCCTGAATGCGCCCGATCTCGTCTGTAATTACATACCTATCTTTTATTTATACATTATTTATTATTTATGTTTTATTTATTTTTAAATATTTTTATTGATTTCAGAGAGTAAGGGAGAGGGAGAGAGGGATAGAAACATCAATGATGAGATCATCAGTCAGCTGCCTCCTGCATGCCTCCTGCTTGGTTCATAGGTTGATGCTCAACCACTGAGCCACACCAGCCCAGCTTTGTTTAATTAAGAAATATTTTTCCTGATTCAATTCACTCTATAGTGTTTTTAAGGTCATGATCTTCCTATGATATATAAATAATTAAAAAGGATTATTAGCTTACGTTTTTTAATCTTTATTTTTTTGTTGTAATCTTCACCTGAGGATATGTTTATTGATTTTACAAGGAGTGGGGGGGGGGTGAGGGGGGTGGACATAGAGAGAGACAGAGACATCTTGTGAGAGAGAAAAATCAATTGGTTGCCTACCATATGTGCCCCAACTGTGTAATGAACCCCAAACCTAGGTGTGTGCTCTGACTGGGATTCGAACCTGTTACCTTGTTTATTTTCTAGGAAAGAAACGTAGAAGCTGTAAGAAATGCAAAAGATGAACGTGTTCGGGAAATTAGGAATGCAGTGGAGATGATGATTGCACGGTTAGATACACAGCTGAAGAATAAGCTTATAACACTGATGGGTGAGTGTTTTTCTATGCAACTGTTGTAACTGGGGCTTCAGGTTCAGTCTTTGAAGAGAAAAGGTTGGTGAGTTATTTAGGCTAGGAAAAGATTGGTTTAAAAATAAAAGTTCCTCCTATTAAGTGTTCCTTTTATCAAAAATGTTACTCAACCCCTAGCCAGCTTGGCTCAGAGGGTAAAGCATCGGTCTGCGGACTGACGGGTTTCAGGTTCAGTTGCAGCCAAGGGCACATGCCTGGGTTGTGGGCTTAACCCCCAGTGGGAGCCATATGTGAGGCGGCTGATTAATGATTCTCATCATTGATGTTTCTATATTTCTCTCTTCCCTTCCTCTCTGAAATCAATAAAGAAATACATTTAAAGAAAAATTTCTCCAAATTAATATAACTTCTATTAGCCTGATTGGTTATGCTTCTAGCCCTACGGACTTTGTGATTTAGAAAGACAGTGGTTTGATTAGGCAAGTATGCCTATTTTGTTAACTTTCTTTTTAACCCATGAAGCAGTTTCTCTTTCTTTTTTTTTAAATTTAATTTAATAAATCTTTATTGTTCAGATTGTTACAATTGTTCCTCTTCCCCCCCTTCCTCCATGGCTCCCTCCACTTGGTTCCCACCCCACCCCATGCCCTTACCCTCCTGTCACCACTGTCCTCATCCATAGGTGTACGATTTTTAAAAATATATATATATTTTATTGATTTTTTTTTTTTTACAGAGAGGAAGGGAGAGAGATAGAGAGCTAGAAATGTCAATGAGAGAGAAACATCGATCAGCTGCCTCTTGCACACCCCCTACCGGGGATGTGCCCGCAACCAACGTACATGCCCCTGACCGGAATCGAACCTGGGACCTTTCAGTCCGCAGACCGACGCTCTACGCTGAGCCAAACCGGTTTTGGCTAGGTGTACGATTTTTGTCCAGTCTCTTCCCTTACCCCCCAGACCCCTTTCCCTCTGAGGATTGTCAGTCCACTCCCTTTCTATGCCCCTGATTCCATTATATTCACTAGTTTATTCTATTCCTCAGAATTTTTTTATTCACTTGATTTTTAGATTCACTTGTTGATAGACATGTATTTGTTGTTCATAATTATTATCTTTACCTTTTTCTCCTTTTTCCTCTTCTTTTTTTTTTTTTTAATAAGTTTTTATTGTTCATATTATTACAAATATTCCTTTTTTCCCCCCCACCATTGCTCTCCTCCACCAGGTAAGCATTGCTCTCTTCCCACCCCACCCTCTGCCCTTTCCCCACTCCCCATTGTCCTCATCCATAGGTGCACAGTTTATGTTCAGTCTCTTCCCACGTCCCCCTCTCCCCTTTTCCCCAAGAATCGTCAGTTCACTCCCCTTCCACACCTCTGATTCTATTATATTCAACAGTTACTATTGTTCATCAGATTTTTTTTTTAATTTCCTTGGTTTTTAGATTCACTTGTTGAGTTACGTATTTGTTGTTAATAATTTTTATCTTTGTTTACTTTCTCTTCTGAAAGAACCCCCTTCAGCAATTCATATAATTCTGGTTTGGTGTTGATGAACTCCTTTAGCTTTTTTTTATTAGTGAAGCTCTTTATCTGACCTTCAATTCTGAGTGATAGCTTTGCTGGATAGATTATCTTTGGCTGTAGGTTCTTACTCTTCATCACCTTGAATATTTCTTGCCATTCCCTTCTGGTCTGCATGGTTTCTGTTGAGAAGTCAGCTGATAATTGTATAGGTGCTCCTTTATAGGTAACTACCTGCTTTGCTCTTGCTTCTTTTAATATTCTCTCTTTGTCTTTTGTTCTTGGAATTTTAAGTATGATGTGTCTTGGTGTGGTCTTTTTTGGATTCCTTTTGTTTGGAGTTCTGTGCGCTGCCTGGACTTGTAAGTCTAATTCTTTCACCAGGTGGGGGAAGTTTTCTGTCACTATTTCTTTCAGTATGTTTTCAATATCTTGCTCTCTCTCATCTTCTGGGACCCCCATAATTCTGATGTTGGTTCGCTTGAAGTTGTCCCAGAGGTTTCTTACACTATCTTCAATTTTCTGG